GGGTTACGCAAATCGCAACAACACCTCAATTTCCTGATATCGTTCTCTCGTCTTCACGAGATAAATCCATCATCATTTGGCAATTGAACAACCAACACGATCCAACAGGTGAAAGTACATCATGTGGTGTGCCAAGCAAAGCATTACGTGGTCATTCACATTTCGTTTCTGATGTTGTCATCTCAAGCGATGGTCTCTTCGCTGTTAGTGGTTCATGGGATGGTTCACTTCGTCTTTGGGATTTATCCGTCGGTACCAGCACCCGTCAATTTGTCAGCCATAAGAAAGACGTTCTTAGTGTTGCCTTCTCCGCCGACAATCGACAAATTGTTAGTGGAAGTCGAGATAAAACAATTAAATTATGGAACACCGTCGGTCAATGTAAGAAGACAAACGTTGGAACTCAACGAAAGTTATAATGTACACTTTCATTTAGGCAAATATACAATTGTCGATGATAACCACACAGACTGGGTCTCATGTGTACGTTTCAGTCCAAATCAAAAAGATCCACTTATCGTTTCAGCTGGTTGGGATAAACTTGTCAAAGTAAGCATTCGATAAGTTAACTTTCACTTGGATTCAACTCGTGCATTAGGTTTGGAATTTAACCAACTGCAAATTACGTACAAATCATCATGGCCATAATTCCTATGTAAATACTGTTACAGTATCTCCAGATGGTTCATTATGTGCCAGTGGTGACCGAGACGGCCAAGCTATGTTATGGGATCTTAACGACGGAAAACATTTATACACACTCGATAGCGGTGCTATGATCAATGCTTTGACATTCTCGCCAAATCGATACTGGCTTTGCGCAGGTATGGAGGACGACAGAAAAACAAAAAGATAATCTAAATGATCTGATTTTCCATTCTAGCAAGTGGAACATCAATTAAAATCTGGGACTTGGAAACGAAAACTGTGGCTGAAGAAGTCAAATCCGACAAGCAATGTACATCATTGGCTTGGTCTGCTGACGGTCAAACATTGTTTGCTGGTTACACTGACAAACAAATTCGAGTATTCGAAGTTCGACAACGTTAAATCGACTAACAAAACAACAAGTCAAGAAGAGTCTATAACATCGTTACGAATAACAGTTTTGTTTTTGTATGACCGACCGATTTGTAATTGTCTTCTTCTTCTTCTTGTCATTGTTGTTGTTGTTCTCGCAAAAAAAAGAATAAGAAAACATGATTTAAATCGTTCTCAATGAATGGATTTTTGAAAAACAAAATTCAACGAACGATTTTTCTAAATCGAAATAAACAAAAAAATATGTTATTTAATATAAAGACGTATGAAAAGATCTTTCTTCCCTATGACCGATGCACGTGTAAACAAATCGAAAGTATCGCTCTAGATTCGCATCAAATCGTCGATATGTAATTTTCTCGAAAAAAAAATTCATATGCCACGGGCAGGAATCGAACCTGCGTTATCCGGACCACAACCGGATGTACTACCATTATACTACCGCGGCGAGATACCTTTACGAACCAGTCGGTTTTAATCCAACCAGTATTTGGAAAGCTAAGTTCAAACAGAACTGCCAATGTTCATTTTCTTTCAATAGAAAGTTCAAAGTCTATGACCTGTACAGCTCATGCGTTGGAATACAAAACACATCAACTCGATCTTTCAGAATAAAATAAAAATAAAAAAGACAGTTCACGTATCGACAGGATACTTTTATTATTTTGAACGATTGATGTGATCGAACGAAGTATTAACCATTAGCTGATATTGAATTCCGATGATTTAAGGATTCAATGTTGGCAAAAAAAATTCATATGCCACGGGCAGGAATCGAACCTGCGTTATCCGGACCACAACCGGATGTACTACCATTATACTACCGCGGCGAGAGTAAGTTCAGAATAGGCGTCTTTTGAAAGTAGGAAAAGTTCACAGAACTTTTGTATTTTACAAATATATTATATTTATTCAGTTAAAAATAGAAAATGTGACATAAAATAAAAATTCACACAAAACGAAAGATTAGCTATTCTGACATAATAAATTTAGTTTTTATTTGGTTCTTCTGCAGGTTTTGATTCTTCTTTTTGACTTTCAACAGATTGGGCTTCCTCTTTTTGTTCCTCGAAAGGTACTTCAATTTTCAATTGTCCCTCCGGAGTTAAATACGATTGTAATTGTTCAACTTGTGTACCAGGTGGTAATGCCACTGACTTGAAGAAGAATGATCGTTCTGAATAATTATTGTTCTTGTTTCGCTGTTCACCTTTGACAATCAATTCATTGTTTTTTACAGATACTTTGATCTCGTCTGCGCCATAATTCTTCATGTCCAAAGTCATTGCCAGTTGTTTCTTATTATCATCTTTATTGATGATCTGTGGTTGAAAACCTGAGCCAGCCAAGAAAGCACTGTAGTTGAACTGTGGATCACGATTTGAACCAAACTGAGTTAAGTTTTGATTTTCGGATTTGACTTCTGCCTGTCGACGTTCAAGTTCCGGATTTTTAATTGGAACTTCAATGACCAGGACATGATTCGGTGTCACGTATGAAACTAAATGGTTCGTATCTATGAAAGAAACATAATCAGTCAGAATAGAAACTATTTGAAATAAAGACTTACCAGCATGTTCAGGTAAAGGACATGATTTTCGCACTTCTCGAATGTTATAATCACCATCAGGTAGACGCTCTTCTTGTTTGGCTAGGATGACTACTTTTTGACCTTCAAGATGAGTTTTGATCGTTTCAGGATTGAATCCGGCGACATTAAATTGAATACGAAACTTTTCTACATTCGGCGCTCGTGCTACTTGATGTTGACACGGGGATTTGGTATTCGAAGAGCGTCGTTGTTGTCGCGGTTGATTGACCCAATGAAATCTGTCAGGAGTAACGACTAGAGTTGTTGGCGATGAATTCAAATCATTCCATGGATCAAAGAAGTCGAGCTGATCTCCAAAGTATCGGGCACCGGGATCATCATGTATACGATAATGATAGACAGGAAAGAAAGCCATTGTTTCGAACGAAGTGAATAATAGTCAGACAAATGGAGAGTGTATTATGTTTGTTTTTCTATGCTTGATACAATCTGACAATCGGATATTTATATACAGCTTTCCATCACACAGAAAATAATTCGAGTAGTATGGCGAGCATTCTAGAAGAATCGCAAAGCTTCACCATTTTTCTTCGCTTTTTTCTTTCTGTTGTTTTGTTTTTCTTTGCTTTCTTTTGCCGATCAACCTCTAACGTGTGTTCTATTTAGATAACGTCAGGCCACATGTCAATTGATCTGATATGACAGTTTTCAAAACGAAAATGCATCCAGGGAAAATCGATCGTTTTTTTTTGTCAAAAATGAACTCGACGTCGTTTATTTAAATAAAGATACAGAGGAAAAAAAACATTGTTGTCAGGTATTCAAATAGTTCATCAATGTCGAACTTCAATGGATCGCATATGTGTAGGTTCGATGAATGGTGCTTCGATTTCCAATTGTCCGTCCGAATTCAAAAATGATTTCAGTTCATTAGCTAGTGTACCGGGTGGCAAGGTGATTGATTTTGTCAAGAACGACCGTTCGGAACGATTGTTATCGTTGTAAATGTTTTCAGCTTGTACAAGTAGTTCATTGTTCTTCACCGAAACTTTGATTTGTTCAGGTCGGTAGTTTTTCACTGCTAACGACATTTTAATGCGTTTCTGTCCACCGCCAATATCAATAATAGTGGGACGAAAGTCTGCTGAAGCAATAAATCCGGGATAGTCAAAAAGTGGATCGCGAAATTGACCAAATAAACTAAGTGCTTGAGTATCGGCCAGTGTTTGTGATGGACGACGTTCGATACGTGGAGCATTGATAGGTACTTCAATGACAAGCATATTGTTTGGTGTAACAAATGAAGCCAAATTCGATGAATCTATACAATATCAATGATAAATCTACTCAATAGATAACGATTGACTTACCAGCGTGTTCAGGGAGATCATAGGTCTTTCGGATCTCACGAAGACTATAGTCACCACTTGCTTGACGGTCTTCCTCTTTCGCCTCGACAATGACTCTTCGACCCTCAACGTGTGTTCGAATTGTGTCAGGATTGAAACCAGCCACGTTCAATTGTACACGAAATTTCTCAGAAAGTGCTGGTAGTGATGGTGGAGAAATTGGAAGAAGGGTACTAGCTGCACCTACATTGCCCGATGAAGATGATGTGTGATAGGATGATGATGATCGACGACTTGTTTGACGCGGTGCATTGATCCATCGGAATGAATTAGGAAATGTTGAGAAAGCTGTTGGAAACGTATCGAAATCACGCCATGGGTCGAAGAAATTCAATTGATCTCCAAAGAAGCGATCGAATGGATCATTGAATAAACGATAGTGTGTAATTGGAAAATGTGACATGGTTTGAATTGAAGTTTATCGGCAGAAAAGTATGATATTCAGTGTGTGCTCTTCACAGTATTTATAGATGCCTAAACTCAATCAATTTCTCTTAATTGAATTGCGCAGTATTAGCATATATTTTGTTTTATCTATTTTTCTTATCATCGATGTCGTGCAGGTTATTTTCGGATGATGAATGCAGTCCGAAAGGTATGAATGTTCTGTGGTTTGATTTATGAGTGTAAACAAGACAATAATCAACGAAAAAGCAAGCATACGTCATGAATCTAGACGTCAACTGAATACACCTTCTTCTTTTAATGAAATTACGTCTTCGGTTATACCAGAAAGAAATCGGTTTGTTTTGGTGATTACTTTGACGTCAACTGAATAGATAGTTTCAATCAACTCTAACCTTGAGATATGACGTAAGTTCGTACGTCAGTTAGGAATGATACGTAGCAGAATCTCATACGGTTGATTTCTTTAAGTACAAAATATTTATTAACATCAATATACGACTAACTATATCGCATCATAACCTGTACTTAAATATATAAAAATAGTTAATAGGCTCTTCGAAAGTATGTAATACAGAATATTTGTAATGCGCCTATGATTTGCTATTACCACCTTGTTTAGTGTCACTTGCATTGTGCTCATCTGAATTCCCTGGTCCTGATAGGAATTCATCAAACGGTCGAGCAAATGACACGGCTGGCCCAACAAAACTTGTTGACTCTCTATGTCGATCGCCGAACAAATTTGATTGTAATTCTAAAAGATATAAATACAAGGGATTGCGAAGAATATACTTGAGATAATGTCTTACGTGCTCTATTAGAAAATACTGTTGAACATCCTCTAGCCACACATTCATAATCATATGATCGAACTATGAAATATGAATATAAGTACGTGTTTCAAGCAGCAAAAATATGTCGTCAGAAGATTAATAATTTTAGAATAGCGAAAAAGGTTTATGTCAGCATCGATACATACTGTTGCGAAACACCTGTGAGGGATCATCTCGTTTAGCTTCTATTGTGATTATATCGCTCTCATTAACAAATGTATTCTTCTGGCTTGATCCATCACCAGGTCTACTGATTCGGTTTAATTGAGGACCTGGTTCTGCTGTTACTACTGATGCGGTAGTAGTAGTAGTAGTTGTTGTTGTTGTTGTTGATGTTGATGATGATGATGATGCCATGTCTAATTTTAATTTATATACGAGGTAAGTCAGTTTCAGTGAGAAATCTACGAGAAATAGTTCACATAGAGATAGTTCAAATATACGTGTCTAGTGATTTTTTTCTTTTTCTGCCACTGTTATTCCAATATTCACAATTCTTTCTGTCTTTTGATAGCATAATATTGACAAAACGTTGAGTAGATGTACAACGAAAAAGAAATACTCTCTCGATTCTGTACTCTCATTCGTAATTGTAGTATAAAAGCAACCATGTACGATAAATACACATAGAGAGCGCTACACTCTATTAGCGATAAACCGCATTAGCTGTTTCGTTATCATCGAAACTAATCTTTACTGTCTTCAGTATATTCTTCAGCAATCTCATTTTAAAAATATTAAAAAACATTTCTGCTCGTAAAATAATTGCGATTGGCTAGATTTTTCACCAATCGAATATAAGCAGCTGATTCCTCCCGATGTTGTTTGCTTTTCATCTCGTCAGTAGTCGCTAGTCTTTTTCGCCTACTCAATTTAGTTTTTTTTCAATATTTTGTATCAACAAGTGTTCCTATTGCCGTTATCGGCAATTTTTATTTCGTTAACATGAGAACTCCTGTGACTATGAACAGTATTCGTATTGGTATTACCGATTGTGCTCGGTATGCCAACTACGAACGATGGTTTTTGGATGCTCCAACCAAGGTGGATGTTATTCGTCTTTCGTACAACTTAAATAATATGGATGATATTGATAAATGCGAGGGTGTTGTTTTATCCGGTGGAGAGGATGTTGATCCACGTCGATATAAACGGCCTGATCTTCTTGGGAGATTAGAATTGACTGATATTGATGAAAAACGAGATGAATTTGAATGGGAAATTATTGAACGTGCTCTAAAATTAAAGCTGCCAATCTTAGCCATTTGCCGCGGTTTGTCATTTCATTTTTCTGTTCTCCTTTAAACATACTAATCTAGTTTACTTTTTGAACAGGCATGCAATTATTCAATGTTTATCATGGTGGTACTCTTATTTTTGATATCCCAACAGTTACTAATATTAATGGGCATGCAAAAATTCAAGGTAATGATCCTGACAGTATAGATAGATCGTATCTATCTGTTTCTTCACGTGTACCAAAATTCAGTTGATCTCAGTCAAAAAATTTTCAATAAGTTAGTTCATGGACACGAGAGGTGATTCTTTAAACAGTGATGCAATACGTGAGCATATGTTAATCTTTTGAAAGAAAAACGTACCGAATAAGACATACTTTCTGACCTTGTTACTTCCAGTGACCTCGTTCTTATCGCATGAATCATTTCATGACCATCGATACATTCACCCGCACAGACATAATCTCAAGAGCATATCGAAATAGTTTCGGAAAATATCCAATGACGGAAATCGTCAAAATCTTGTGTATTTTCAAAAAGGTATGGATCAACGCCATGAAATATCTGTTGGAGAAAAAACTCTTCTCAACGAAATCACAGGATGTGTTAAGGGCGCTGTTAATTCTTCGCACCATCAATGCGTCGAAACACTTGGTACAAATTTATTAATTGCCGCAAGAGCTGAGGAACCAGTTGTTGAAGCAATTCAATGGCGGAATGCACACGAAAAACCTTTCTATCTAGGCGTACAAGTAATTATTGTCAAATCGCGGTTTTATATTTTCTAATCTTTCTCTGTAACTTCAGTGGCATCCCGAACGAATGGTTGATCAAAACAGTCCATTTTCATACAATATTCGTCAGGCATTTCTTGATTATATTATCGAACACCGCGAACCATCGACAAATGACGACGAAAATACCCCAACCCACCCATCGGAAAGCGTTTAGGTTGATTTATACATATGTATATGATTCTGTAGCTTGTATTTTCTCGCAAAAACATTCCTTTTAGAAGAATTCTATTTTTTTTAGTGTTCAATCTTATTTCCCCCCTTTGCTTTTCTTTTCTTCGAAGAACTCGGCATTCCAATTTTCTCTCACTCTATTCTACAATGAATTTCATTTTTGTTTTTCTCACATAGAAGAACAAGTTTTCACATGAGTATGTCACTGTCAACAGAGGTCTCTCTCGAGTTACACTTATGTCCAGTTATATGTTATTGGACTTTTTTCTCTCTTTAATATACACACCGTTCGGATTATCCATACTTTATTCTTTTCTTGTTTGCTTCATCCCCATTTCTGCCAGAACTACATTTCGTCTTGTTCTTATGCCTGTTCTCGCCTAGATAGTTAACTGAGAAGATCAGAGACACCTCATATGCTCGATCTTAAGTTTGAGATGGCAGTCAATTCATTCGAGAACTTCACCAAATGTCTTTGTGTCATAGAATGATGTGTCAGATCAGTTCTACTAAACTGCTGTCAATCCTTTTCCTTTTCGAAAATAATTTAATCTCGCATTTTATTTGTTCGTCTGTGTTGTACCAATTTCACTTTGTCGATGTGTCACTTTTGAAATTTTATTTTCTTTTATTTTCTTGTTTTGAATTTCGAAAAACAAATTGAGCAAATATATAATCAGTACAATCGACACTTTTTTTTTCTAGATATGTTCAAAAGAACTGTTTAGATACGATGGTTCTTTTCAGTAAGTTTCGACCGTTGTTACAAACGGTGTTAAAACCTAGCGAGCAATTGCAAACAAGTAAATCTATTCGTTGAATGGAAGAAAACACATCGATTGTGAGTTCTGTTTCAGTTGCCAAACGATGGAGTTCCGGACGGGATATGAAAGTGATGATATCGGAATTTCACGAACGAAAGTTCTTTGACATGTTCGTAAGTGTCATAATCAATCATTTCGAGTTTCTCTATCCTCTGTTGATATACTATATGAGAATATCATTCGATCTCGGAAAACGTCTCTTTTTATTGTAGCACTATTACTTTTTAATCGGATTGGTGCCAACATTTTGTGTCGTCTTTTATGCAAATGTATTCATCGGTATTGTATAATCTTCCATAGCAATCAGCTTTTCATATTTTATATTGTTTAATAGGTCAAGCAACACTGACAGAAATTCCGGAGGGATACGAGCCGCGACATTGGGAATATTACAAAGTTTGTCTCTCCTCTTCTACTATAAGTGAACAAAGTGCAAATTATTCATTTGTCTATTTAGCATCCACTTCGCCGTTTCATGGCTCGTTATGTCGTTCAGTCGTTTGATGAACGTTACGAAATTTCTCTTCATACCATCTATAGTCGTGTGATGAGAGACAGAATGAAGTAGAATAAGATAAAATTCATTGCTCTTCACTAGCAATCTTATGTGATCTTTTCTAGAGCACTTGAGCGTAAAGTACGACGTTTGGAACATGCACGTGGCGATGCTAAGGGATGGTTCTATCGTCCAGTTGTTGACCATCTTACTGAACTTGAACAGAAGCAAGCAGCAGAACGCAGCGAAGGTTATTCAGCTATGATGGCACCACGAGAATTACCGCCGCCCCGCTCATGGCCTAATCCGCCTAAAGACTAAGAAATTAGTTCGTGGACATGTGTTTATTTTCAACTCCTTGTAGTCAGCTGATTTCCACATTAAAACAACAACATCATCCTTTTGTTGTCCCTCCATTTTGGATCTTTAGATTGTTTGATATGAATAAAAAAATCGAAAATTCTCTTCTTTGTTTTCCTCTGAAACTTTTTCTACAATCATAGACGCTATCGTTTTGCTTTTTCTCTTCTCTCTCATCTGATCTTTCTACGGAAGAAAAACAAGGATAAGTATATGAAGAAATCCATGCATTATCTAACTTCCGGATAGCAGCGTGTTTCAATCGTATTAACGACAACAATCATAGGATAGCGTTGGTCGGATGGCGTCCCTGTTATTGAAGATAGGAATGTCTTAAATTTCGTGCGTATGTAAAACAGCTGAGTCAGAGAATAAAACATATGTTTTGTCAATATAGAAAGAAAAGAGACGAACGAATTCTTTTCATAGGTTTTTATTTAAATAAATGAATCCGCAATATTGTAAAATAATCGAGTAATTATCACAACATCTTCTTTTCTTCATTTATTAAACTAGTGCGATATACTCGTAATGAAATCGAAGTCATTTCCATGTGTACATATATAAATATTTTGTTGCCCTATTAAGGAATCGATCTGTTCTCACGTAAAATGTCCTCATCAATGAACTTGTCAATGTCCTTATTCGTAATAGTCTATGTTTGCATGTCTGTCCTTGGTTTAAGAGAAACAGAATCTGCCTTATGTTTTCTCTTTCTTCTTTTTCTCTTGCGTTTTTCTCTTTATTCGGTACATACTGCCTTCTAGTCGTCGTCGTCGTCTTCTTCTTCATCGCTTACTCAATATATCAGACGTTTTTTCCTCCATTCCTCATTCTTTCATTCTTACGCTTACAAATACAAGGTCAATTGTCAACGAGAGGAGACATAGGTTTGTGTTGTCGACGCGACGAGTAGTGCTTCTTATAGAGGTTTTTGCTTGTCGATTAAAACGAAGAGATAGAGAAAAAAAGAGAGAGAAAGAGAAATTGTTTTTGCGGAGGCTTGTCTGTCACTATTCGATTCTCGTCGATTTTGGTTAAGAGAAAAAAAAGAAAGAAAAAAAGGGCCTTCGCGCCCAGGCCAACATGGCTGACGCACGATTGACCAACGTTGAGTAAGTTTTTTCATGTACAGGAAAAAAGAATAACTTTCTTCCCTGTCGTGTCTGACCTTATCGATATTTCTATTTGAAATTCTCTCTCGGTTTTGTAGATCATAGTAATCATCTAAAATGAGTGATAAAATCCTCAAAATCGTCAGTCGTTATATCTACGACAGTCGTGGTAATCCAACTGTTGAAGTCGATCTTTGGACAAGCAAAGGTACGGTATATCCATACGATAGACTAAACATAAATATTAATAAACGAACTGACTATCCAAATAGACAACAGAAGAAAACCTTGTAAAAAGATTGTTGCATAACAAATCTTTTTCTCCTTCTGATGCGTTTATAAGGTCTTAGTTAATATAATTACATTCACTTTATGAATAGGTCTTTTTCGAGCTGGTGTACCATCGGGTGCTTCAACTGGTATCTACGAAGCATTGGAATTGCGCGATGGAGACAAGGGTGTACATCATGGAAAAGGTACAATTTATCATTGTCTCATGTGAAATGACGTTTTGTTTTAGGTGTCGAGAAAGCCGTGGCTAATGCCGAAAAGTTGGGTAAAATGATAGTGGAAGTGAGTTGATTCGTTGTCTGTTCACGACGTGTGAATTGATTTTGGAAATGCTTTCTTGTAGAAAGGATTTGATGTAACTCAACAAAAAGAAATCGATGATTTTATGATTCAAGAAGATGGTACCGATAGTAAAAGTGCGTGCTATTTTGATTTTCAAACTAGATCAATCAATGTTGAAATGCGATATCGATTTCTAGAGAAATACGGTGCCAATGCTATCCTTGGTATTTCAATTGCTGTCTGTAAAGCTGGGTATGTGTATGAGTATTGAATCATTGAGTATCACCAGTTTGTTTCTTGTTACAATACTTTCTTTAAGATATTATTTATAATTGACGGGTAAATTTGCTATTCACTAATATTGAAATGAGATCTATTCAAAACATAAACATGTCTCCGAAAAAGGGATGTTTGACAGTCTTATTTATATTAATTTATCGCTATCATTGTTCATAGTTCATAAATATCGACGAATTTTGTTTTATTTTCAGTGCAGCACACAGTAATTTACCATTGTATCAATACATCGCCAAACTCTCAAATTCAGCGATTCGTCTACCTGTACCTGCTTTCAATGTGAGTCTGTTCTCTTTTACTTCGTAACTATTTCGCAAGGAAACTTGCTAGGTCATCAATGGTGGCAGCCATGCTGGCAATAAACTTGCCATGCAAGAATTCATGCTACTTCCAACTGGCGCTAAATCATTCAAAGAAGCCATGCGTATGGGCTCAGAAGTATATCATCATTTAAAAAGCTTGTAACTAATTTATGCTGTGTTGATGAATGACTTGTTCATGCAAGAAAATTTCTTCTAGGATCAAAGCTGAATACGGCCTTGATGCGACGAACGTTGGCGATGAAGGTGGCTTTGCACCAAACATTGAAAGTGCAGAAAAAGGTATAAAATATTTCGTTGTTTAATAACTTGTCACGTTTTTCCTTTTCAGCACTTGATATCCTTGTCAAAGCTATCGAAAAAGCAGGTTATACTGGTAAAATCAAGATTGGCATGGATGTTGCTGCTAGTGAATTTTTCGATGAACAAGAGAAGAAATATGATTTAAATAATAAAGAAAAAGGCAAACCAAACTATGTAAGTAAATCTTGCTCTAAGTGTCGTTATTCTTTTCATTTGCTCTTTTATTTTAGTTAACAAGTGATGAAATGGTTGCTTATTACTTGAGACAAATTGAGCAATATCCAATCATATCGATTGAAGATGGTTTCGAACAAGATGATTGGACTGGCTTTCAAACACTTCTTACTTCAGTCAAAGGCAAAAGTGTTCAACTTGTCGGGTAAAGAGGAGTACGAAAGAAATGTTCAGTTAATCACGATTTTCGTTTCATTTAGTGATGATCTCACAGTGACAAACGTCAAACGAATCCAAACAGCTATTGAGAAGAATGCATGCGATTGCCTTCTACTCAAAGTTAATCAGATTGGTTCGGTTACCGAAGCCATTTCGGCGTAAGTTACATTTTTTCCTAGAAAACCATTTATTTCACTCGAAGAAACATTTCAGATGTACCATGGCTCGTGGTGCTGGTTGGGGTGTTATGGTTAGCCATCGTAGTGGTGAAACTGAAGATACCTTTATTGCCGATCTTGTCGTTGGTTTAGGCACTGGACAGGTTAGAACCGCTATTTGATTTGACGAATTCTGAGGTTTTTGTTCGATGTTTCGAGATCAAAACTGGAGCACCTTGCCGTTCTGAACGCTTGGCAAAATACAACCAACTATTACGTATCGAAGAAGAGCTTGGTAGTAACGCAGCGTACGCTGGCGACAATGCTTTCAAGAAAAACTAGTCGACCATCCAATACATCCGTAGTTGAATAGATCTCTCGAAACGAAAATCCTATTTAGTTTGATCCTTCATTACATAATTAGAACAGTTTTCATTTGTTTTATTTTTCATTCTACTTCTTTTTATCAGTGTGATGTTCGTCTGGTTTGTCTCTTCATTTTTCTTTTCTATGTCGATTATGTTTGAAAACAAACGGCAAGAGTGTACCTCCCGGTGTTAGGTTGTACAGAGAAATCAGTGAGAACACACTTTGATTCCTTTTTTTCATCTTTATTTTTCGTCTTCTCATCACTTTCATATTGTGTAGTACTGTGCTTCTACTTCTCTATTTACGATTATACTTTAGTCTATTTTCCTTATTAAATGTCTTACACGTATTCCTTAAGTCGCCTTTATACATATTTTCTTCCTCATTAACGTGGTGTTTTCACAATCAAATGTGGAAATCTAGCACAACACGTCAAAGCAACAAGAAAAAGAATGGTAGCCAGAAACATGACGTAGACAAAACCAATGTGAACCAGTGCAAATATATAAACATTCCGGTGGCAGTAGTTCTCCGGATTTCTTAAACCAAATTCGAAATTTGGCTTATAGATACTCCACGTCCAATATTGACCAACGATGAACCATCCGAAAAGAAAAAGACTGAGAACAGCATCAGTAAAGTCAGATCCGTCTAAATGTTGAAGAACGTTCGTTTGTTAGAAAGAAGAACGTATGAGACAAACCGTTTTCAGTTTCTTCTTCTTGATCAAGTTCGACGCCTTCTAGTTTACGCATCCGTCGCCGACGAAACTGCTTCCATAACAAATTTAGTACACGTACAAGACCCATCGAGCCCGCGACGAGCAGATAAACGGGTAAATTAGGTTGCACTGGACAGTCATTGAGATATTTAACACCTGAAGATGAAGTTTTTGGATAAGTAGCAAAAGATAAACGTTGCATTTTCATACCCATGAAAAATAGTATCACTTGAAAAATCGTTAAAAGGACTAATAAAGCTGTAGCAACAACTAAAACAAAACGTTCTACTTCATTAAATTGAGAAAAAAAAGAAACAATGATTTCTTTTTTTAAAGAAACGAATGCTCTATTATTAATAAGGACTTGAAGAAAGACGAGAATAGCTGTTCGTTCATTCTGAGCATATTTCTTTAAAAATATCTCTAAGTTTGACAAACCAACGGGACATCGATGGGAAAGGAAAGAATCCATCAGGATCTCCATGACTTATTCAGGAAATGTAATTTAGCCTTGCTAAAAAGAAGAATAGCTGATTTCTCACATGTATGTGTAATAATTGAAAAAGATTTTTTGACAAATTCAAAATAAGTTTCCGAATCTTGAATGGCTTCACCTAACAAGCAAAGGAAACATTGCAGAAAAAGGAAACTTTTACGTTTATATCTTACCCAATCGACTACACACAGATACATAGGGATCACTATCTTTAACATCTTCTATCCATTCACTGGATGATAGCAGCAAACGATGATCTTCTTGTGATAACTAAAAATGAAGATAAATCCGCACAGTTTGACAATAAACATAAACAAATATATATGTGATCAAATCTTACAACTTTCTTGTTCTTATCCATATCACGTTGTTTTAAAAACTGAGCGTAGCTACTACTCAAACTGCTCAGACGTGCGACACGTTGTCCATCGAGAAGACTCGATGTAGATGTGTAACTTAGGTTTACAGCTAACTTTTTTCGCGTTGGTGACACAATTGGTTCCATCTCTAAAGATGAAGTTTGCAATTGTTGGCTGGTCGGTAAATCCAGATGCATTCGAAGTCAATTTAGTCGTCTCAGAATAAATGAAGATGCAAAGAATTTTTTCTTATTATTATTCTCATCCTTATACTGTGTGATAAGAGAGCAAAGACGGAGAAAAGGATAAAATTAAAAAGGAAATAAACGTACTCTAACTTGATTTGGTAGACATTGTCAGAAGACAATCTAATGACAAGGTTCTCCTCTGACAAACTATTAATTGTCACATTTGACAACGAGAGACAAAAAAAATAGCGACATTAGTCAATCGCATCAACGATTATATAGATGGTTATGTGTTCCAATTAGATTAGAAAATTAAGGTAGTTTGGTCAATTAGATTTTTGACAAATATTTGTGTCGATAGAAAAAAAAAAGGAAGAACATAATCCATGTCACTAAGAATGGTCATAAAAGATGAAAAATAGCAATAAACATCGCAAAATATTCGTTCGATTCATGAGCAATATCTTACACCCGTTAAGATGACGATGTTACTAAGTATTTCATTCGATGAAGTGAGATTGGAAACAATAGGAAATCAATTCGTATGCGCCATTTCGAGTGCTTCAACATAGATCACATTTGTGTGCTATTGTTCACTAACTATCAGATTCTTCATTTCGTTAATGACTAAGTACGACGCTTATCAACAATAAGAAACGGAAATGATACTTTACCATTGCATTAGATCGATGTTTATTATCACTATTAGTCGGTCCATTATGAGATGAAAAAAGCGTTGCGATAACGTCATTCATATTGTCAACCGATGATCGTCGGCCACCTAGGATTTCATCTGTTGTCGTTGTTGTATAACTTGATTGACGCTTAGAAATCGAAGTTGATTGCCCTTTGCTGGTTAATCGCTGTTTTCGTGGTCCACCACTTGAACGACGCGCGGAAGTTTTTCGTTCGCTTAAGAACGCAGTTGCGATATTAGCTAATGATACAGGACGATTTGTTATGCCCGACGAAGGATCGATACTCCCTCCGCTGGTTCTAAAGAAAAAGTCATTTCTTTTTTTATGAACAAAACAGTACACTGATTGTGATTTATAATTTCCGATGATGAATGAGAACGATGTCGACTTCTCCTGTAAATTGTGTAGATAACAAACATAGAAGTAATATTTGTCGAACTCGACTTTTCCATGAGAAATGAAGAGAAAAAAGGACGTCTAGTCCCTCTTATTTTTTTATTATTTCACTTTATAGTTGAACTGATATTAAAGACAGCTAAGTTGGTATTATATTCTGTGAAGCTTTTACTATTTATCTTCAAGAATTGTGTTTTGACAAAAGTGAATCAAGGCTGTGCTCTTTGTTCTCAATCTAATCGCTCAATTACGGCTTTAATTCAATTCATTCTGAATTTCTCGATATAACTAACAATAAACCGAAAGCTTAAAGAAATGAAATGTACTAAGAACGAAAACTATCGTTTATCTCTTACAATAAATAATCTAGTCGGGTACCGAATCTGCGTATAAATACATTTCATCGCTGGCCTCTTTTCTTTGTATTTCTCATCTATATAGCTTTGCTCAAATAATTATCACCTAAGCGTCTGCGCATTCTTTAAAAAAAAAGTGTCGTTTCACACGTACTTCACTTACGAGTTTGTTCGGACAATGTTTTCTACAAATTATATCATTATTTCTTAATGTTATTATTCAACGAGAAAAGAAAAGTTAGAAAACAACACTTGAGAATATTTTTCTTTTCGCTCCTAGTATTTCTAATCGATATTTACTCAAGATAAATACATTTTAATAACAAACTAGAATGTGTAGAAACATGGCACATACCCACTATATATTGAACCAAATTGACGTGACATTCTAAGCACTTCTAAAAACACAAAAAGCTAGACATATGTCAATGAGTGTTGAAATTGGAATACGAGTCAAACAATTGCATTGTAAAGAACCAAATTGCCAGATTATCTGTTACTCATCTGTATATTCTTTCTCCCTTTCAAATCGTCTTTTATTTGTTTTCTTCTACTCAGCTTTTCCTTTCTTTCTTTTCTTCGTCGTTTCCTATGCCATTCCGAACGATGATAATAATGATAATTTTCGGTTTCCTTCGACTCGTATATCTATCGGATTTAATGAACGAAGGCAAACTTTAGCTCGAAGCCAAAGTTAACTAGACGTCATGAAATTGGTAAATAGATATATATATATATATATACATGTTCGTTCTTTTTCTTCTCTCTATTCCAAAATGACAAGCATAGGAAACATGTCGATTGACATCCGTGATGACGAATCATTAAATAACAACCGCTATGATCCCTAAATGAGTTTTTTATTTTAATTTCGCTTATTCAAGCTTCAACAGTTCTTTTCCATCTATTATTGATTGAAACAAATTAGTCAACTAGAAATCGATGTTCTCCAGTCGATACATGGCCCATTGGAACTACTTATTTGTCGAATATTCTTACCTTGATGTAGTATTCTTCTACTCGATAATTCATACACACCAGTGAATAGCAGAATATCAATTGGATTCTATCAAGTATCAAGAATAAATATTCTCAGTCGTTTGGAAATCGACCTTATTTGTACTGTTCGACTTTGTCTATGGACTTCGGTGTCATATACTAATGAAATAAGTCTACCTTATTGTTTAATGTTTGATAAATGAGCTTTTTAAAGCATTTGATCATTGAATGTATCAGTTTCAAGCAGATTGGTTTCGAGAAGACATGAAAGAGTATATCTGATCAGAACATGCCATGCGTATACGTCAGTCTTCTTCGACAACAGCATCGTACGCATATGAACATTTTGATGGCTTCGTAAAAACTATCGGGAATGAACTGTAATGTAAAAGTATAAGAGATATTTTCTTGACAGAGTAATTAAACTTATCGAAGAAACGTATTGTAATTAATATTTTTCAAGTATGCGACTGATAGTTGTCATGATCTGAATGTCATTTATTTCGCGTAGTCTTCTTCATGATCAGCATGGAACTGAATGCAGTTAAAGACAAAGAATGACATCCAATACAGTAGAGCTATAGGTTGTTTGATTGATTATATGTTTTGACGAAGCGGCGAGTACATTCTTAAATGCTATCTGTAGTTTCCCTTATTGAAAAATTCCTAATTTGTGTTTAATTAGCTCGCAGAAGGAGTGGATTCATGTAATTGTGGTGCCAAAATGTTTTTGAACAGTTACTGAAAATTCCTTGGTCGGTGAGAGTGCTTCACTCATATCCTGTCATTGGTGATTTAATTGGATGGATTTGAGACGAACAATTTGACACGAAAACGGCAAATTCGCGTAAAATTGCTGCGCGCCTGGTTTTCCTTGCGAATGAGAGAAATATCACCATTACTTTCGTCGTTTCTTGTTCTGAACGAAAGGAAAACACGAAACATATGGGTGTTTTTTTAAGCAAATTCGTGTGAAAGCATAAGTTCTCTTTTCAGAGGAATTGTTTGTTTGAGATTAATGGAAAGTTTCTACTGACTCGATCCTTGTTGTCTGTTTCAATTGAGAATTCAGATTGCTTCTTTGTTCTGCGCTATGCGATTTATGATTTAAGTATTCGGATCCAAAAAATCGAAATTTGCCGATGAAATAAAACTAAGCCTTCGACATATAACAGTCGGTATACTAGCTAGTAGCTAAACTGCTCTTCTTCATTCATTTCATGTTGTCGCTCGCAATGAGACTGCGACATAGTCATTAAAAATAGACAACATGCCATGGAATGTATATTATCTTTCTGTCAAAATGAATTTTTTCATGTTAGCATTGTGTACCATGCTTGGAGCGACTATTACATAGCACTATACATAATCTTCCAGCACCTCTCAGGTGTACTGATAAATGCTAAAGATACGTTACTCGCAGCAAATTGAATAAAATTATTTTCGAAGCCGAACAAATGTTAGGTCGATATGCTCATTACTTCAACGATCGTTGTTTGAACGTGTTGAAGTTTTGCAGATCAATTGTCTTATCTACCAGTTTTTCATACATGTCTGCTTTCTAGAAAAGATTAATCAGTGACAAAAATAAACTGATGAGCTTTTCTGGAACAACACAAACCGACCATCTATTAACTCCAATACTTGTGTTGGCGGAAAAGATAACAGTGGTTGTGCACTGATACCTCTGAGCAGTGTGAGTGCATCATGTTCTATAGGATGCGGTTGGTAAATTACTTTTTAGGACAAACCATATGCGCAAACTACTAGCAACAACTATTGTTTTTCTTTTGGTCACTAAAGACTAACTGCGCTATTAATACGTATAATCGTGTTGTTAAAATTACATTTGAAAACAATTTCACATTCATTTAGATTATTCCAATTTTTTAAATAGAATCTTCACGTGGCTAATTGATCACATACAAAAACTACCAAGTGTCACCATTACAAGAAATTGTAAGGCAAACAATATCTTGTTCAATCTCAATTCAAGACGATGGTAATGTTTCTTGCAATAGCTAATAATCAAGCAAACTTCTTGTAAACGATCTATTGTATGGATGTGAAATTTATTGTTCAAGATTCAATGATTTCTTCCAACATGAAAACACACGCATGGTCGTGTGTGCGTAAGTATCGCATATGAAGCTGATCGAAGAAACATATGCAACAGGAAAATTACACACATATCACTATATTTTGTTGCAATTTTTCATAAATAATTCTATTAATAAATGAGATTAGTATCAAATCGGTTTGAAATACAGAAATTATGTTCAGCTCAGTGAACAAATGACAATTTCCTCTCCGGATTTCATGAACTATATGAAAAAAACTCGATTGACAAAAACATCTGTCGAAAGAACTCTCACCCCAGTACAAATATAAAGAAGAAGTACTTGCGAGATAAGATATTTGATACTTATCAGCACTACATTGAAGTTCTGAATGAATTCAAGTACGAAACAGCTGTATAGCGAAGAACTTCACCGTCATTAGTTAAACCAAACACGACGATATCTCAAACATGATATTGATATGTTTTTCATATGATGAGACAATCGTAGACAAATGATGCAATGTCATTGTTTTCGATATTTCTCTTTTTTCAAAAGCAATGCGAGGGCAAATATAAGGTTAAAAGTGAGGCGATACTTTTTTATCTCTTGTACATAAAGACGATCACATGACAGAGAAAGAGGCTTGGTATATGTCGAATATTATTTCGTTAACAAAGAACGAACTCAAACATTTCTTATCAGAAGACATGTTGGACTTTATCATTTATTAAATACTAACCAAACAAAAACAAGATGTAATAACCAGATTAAAAGGCACGTGCATACTTTTTAACAATGCCTTTCAATATTTTCTCATAAAACACTCCCCCTTTTTTCGTGGCCTTGACGAACTTATCTTTCATTTAGTACAAAAATGTCGTCACCCCTTATCGATGTAATCATGAAAACAGACAAATTCAAATAAATTTAATCGATTACTGATTGATAAAATTACGCGTGCAACTGTCCTATTTTCGAAGATCCGAATTCGTATGTTACTTGGAATGTTCGTCAAGCGTTGCTACTACTAGGTCGATCATCATGAGAGTTCTTGTATAAAATTAACATAAATTTTCTTTTTGAAAGAAAAGTCGTACGATAAAAATATCATATGACATGATTAGGTTAATATAACTGTCATCAATAAAACATCGCATCTACTTTGCGCGTGCTTCGTTGGCAAGAAATCTTGCCTCGATCGGTTATGTCCGCAAAAATACCATGAATTTATGGTTTATTTTTTGCGCGCAACTCTATGAGTAATAAGCACAGCAAATTCGCTTGCTTGTCGCTTCTTACATGTTGGCAGAAAAGAAAAAACACGGACTTGGTTCTCTACCTCGCTAACACCACATACAACGCCATAACATCATATGATTGCAAAGAACGACAAAACATGGTAAAGTATATGTCTTACCATTCGCTGAGCGTGTGATTCTGAGCAAGAACGCACATATCAGCTGACTAAGAGAACGAAGCTAGCTGATCACATGAGCATCATGAATACAATAGACTTTAAAGAAATGCATCATTCTACGACCAGCCTCCTCTCCCTCCTCTCTTGCTGTCAGTGCACGCACACCCCTCGTGCTTCTAATGTCTCTGGCCAAGTATATATAGAGCTTAGAAATCCGCTCATTCATATTTATTAAAAAAAACACGTCCTTGTTTGCTACAACAAACTATCTGGTCTATCGATCACATCTGCAACCCGTTATTGAAAGCCAACTATTTCAAGAATGAAAACGGTAGATAAAGCAATTGCATTCAATCTTTGTATAACTATATTTTGCTTCTTAATAGCCAAATTTCGCCTGTCTTTTTGATATTGATGGTGTCATTACCAAAGGCCCGAATTTTATTACCGTTGCCAAACCGGCCATTCAAAAATTGATTCAACTCAAAGTGTCAGTTGTCTTTGTATCCAATACATGTATGCTCGAAGCAGATAAGGCCAAACAATTGTCCGTCGTACTCGGTGTCACAGTGAGTTGATAACTCGTGATTTCTATCCTCGTCATTAACAATGCCTACTATAGATTCACCCAGAACAAGTTGTGCTTGCTCAAACACCAATGCGCTCATTGACTGAATATCATAACAAGCATGTTCTTATATCTGGACAAGGACCTATTGAAGAAATCGGCCGAACGTATGTGTTACTATTGAATTTCAATAGTAATATTTTTCTTTCTTACTTTAAAGGCTTGGCTTCAAAAGTATGACAACTATTGAAAAAGTTTGCACAGCCTTTCCAGAATTGGATATGGTCAATCATTTGAATCGAGTTCAGCTAGTAAGTAGAAAAGATTGCGGACGTTAAAAAATGAATATTTCATCACGTTATTTATAGAGTGAAATGATTAAAACACAAGGTCTCGTCCGCGATGAAAATTTCCGTCCTATTGACGGTAAGTTTATTCCTTTGGTTTTGAATCAATATATTTATTATCTTTCTAAATAAAAGGTATTGTTTTACTCGGTGAACCAGTCCAATGGGAACGTTCATTACAAGTCATAACTGACCTTCTTCTAACTGATGGCAATCCAGGCGTCATCCCTGATGATTGCAATCTTGATCGAGATCATATTCCAATCATTGCTTGTAACCGAGATTTGGTATTCAAGGCAGCAGCTGATTTGCCACGATTTGGTCATGGGGCCTTCCTCACGTGTTTGGAAGCATTGTATAGAGTACGAAAAGAACGTTCTCTTCTCAATCTGAATGACATATTCTTCTCTTTTCATTTAGAATCTAAGTGGAAATGATCTCAAATACACATCCTTTGTTGGTAAACCATTCGAAATATCCTATCAGTATGCTGAAATGGTCGCGAATAAAATTGCCTTGGCTAATGGTCAACCAAAAATCGAGAAGATCTACTTCATAGGTGATAATCCTGATGTAGATATTGTCGGAGCCAATATGTACAATCATTTGTTACAACAAGCAATGAATATCAAAGGAAGTATCAGTGGTTACAGTTTACTTACTGATACGAAATTTCTAAGTGCAACATCATGCGAATCCATTCTTGTATGCACCGGTGTTTATGATCCAAATAAACAAAAACTCGATGGCAAAATTCCATGGAAAGTGCCCACAACAATTGAACAAGATGTTTTAGAAGGCATCAAATATATTCTTGCCAAAGAAGGCTTGCCATGGGCAATCGGTTCTTAAAAGCACGAATGCGTTATAAAAGTAATATTTGTTCACCATGCATATGTATATAGAACCCGTGTCAGATTTAGTTTTATATATCATTCTTTGCTGATCCGCTTATTGTCTTGTTTTTCTGTAAATTTTTTTGTGTGCGTGGCAAATGAACATTTTGTAGATAACTATAAATAAAGATTGTTGCAAACAGCGCTTCATTAGAAATATTTCTTTTATTTATTGTTCTTGTGCAGTAAAAAGATAACGGACATAAAATACCTGCATTTTTTATTGTCGTCGACCATATGGGATTTGAGAACGAAAACAGACATGGTCCCTTAGCTCAGCTGGTTAGAGCGCCGTGCTAATAACGCGGAGGTCATGAGTTCGATCCTCATAGGGACCAAACCTTTTTTACTGATGCAATTACACTTTACTTTTGCTTCGATACTTTTTTTGTCAATGACAATACATTGCTAGAAAGCAAATACTACATCGAACGATTACCTGCTTACCTTTATTTTTTTCCGAATAAAGATAATTGCGTAGCACTCGTTTTTGAATGTTCACGTAACATCTAACTCGTATAAATACCATTCATGTGTTCAAGCGTCAACAACTTCGTCGTGTGATTCGACTTCTTACGGCATCTTCCAAACACGATTCGACGATGATTAACAACAGTAAACGGTATCGAAAAACTGCAACATGAACTTCATATTCCTCTTCTATCCAAGTTGCATATTGAACATGATACCTGTTGCCAGTATCACCTATCCATTGCCTGAGACAAGTCAAAGCGGATCTATTCTTGTCATTATGAACTTCACAACATCGTATCATTGAATTATCTGAATTTCAATCCTTTTTTCAATAATAATACGATAATCACTTCACCTTATGAATATTTGAGTAAAGATTAGCACACAGTTTTTAGGAATAATCTTTCTGTTTTGATAGTAGCAGAAGGTACAACTTCCCGAAAATAACATGTTATGCACATTGACTAGGCTTCCTACTAGAGCATAAAATTTGCTGTTTAATCTATCGTCATTATTATTTGAAATGAGAAAAAAAAACTGCTGAAGATGTTTCTTTCTCAAGCACACTTAGAGTCGAGACCGGAGAATTAAGATTTAGTTTCTTCATCATTTTCTTCCACGGAATATAATTGTGACAAATTATTTGCCATTTTTCTCATCCACTATGGCTTAAATTACACTGCTGTTACACTCCTTTATGTGCATACGCGAACACATACACGAGCAAGCAAGCAAGCAAGCTGTCTCACACTGTCGTGGACGTCGTCGTTATTCTTCACCCTTTCTTTTCCTTTTCACATTTACAGTGTGTGTGTGTGTGCTTCTTCACGTAGACAGACGGAGACGAACGCATACATGACTGCTTTATGTTTAGAAAAAATGCAGCGAGAGAGACATACACGTCATGTTTGTGCGTTTTCTCCTCTTCACTACTGCCTGACTAGGTCACATTTTTCTCTTGTTCGTTGTTCACTCTAATGAAAGCAAGCAACGATCGTATTTATTCATTTGTTTTGTGTGTTCAAATTCAGTTGCTTCACTAGCAAGGTGGTCGTTTCTCTCTTATAGATTATTACATTAGTTTCTTCATTTGTCTAAACAATGCCTCGTGCAGCTTCTGGAACGTCGAAGAAAGCAACCAAAGATCCAAATGCTCCAAAACGACCATTATCAGCATTCTTTCTCTTTTCACAAGATGAACGACCTGACATTAAGAAAAAGAATCCATCCTTGTCTGTTGGAGACATTTCCAAAGAAATCGGTGCACGATGGAAAAAAGTCAGGTAAAAATCAAACTTTCATTCGTCTCGATTCGGTCTAATAAATTATCTCCTTGTTAGTGATGATGTGAAAAAACGTTATGAACAAAAAGCAGGTGTAGAAAAACAAAAGTACGAACAACGTCTTTCGGAATACAAAAAGAGTGGTGGCGGTGGCGGTTCACCGGCTAAAGCCACTAAAGGTGCAGCAAAAGCACCAGCCAAGAAATCACCAAAGAAAGCAGCACCGAAGAAGGGCGCATCGAAAGCAAAGTCATCGGATGAAGACAATGACGACGACGATGACGAAGACGACGATGATGATGAAGATTAAACGTACGATGCTCAAGTTCTGAAAAAAAAAATTAATTTCCTTCTCTGTGTGTGTACTATTTGTTGTAGAATGACACATTTGTATGTATGAACTTGTGTGCTTGTCTCTATTTTTTGTATACAGCTTTGTCCTTTTTTTCTGTGTATTAACATTACTATGTTTGTTCTTGTTGTTGTTTTCACTGGCAAAAGAAATAAATGTGGATGTAGCGAAAAAAGTTATTAGATGAAGAAAAGATGTTTTATTCTGTGAAAGAGGAAAAGATTAGCTCGTTTTTGAGCTACTTTCTTTCCATATTCTCTTTACTCGTTAAACACAATGATATCTATAAATACTCTTATCCTACATTTTGTCTTATGTGCGTTTATATCAACAGATGCAGGCTTGTCGAAGATGGAGTCTTGTGATGTGGAAATTTATGCCGAATTATTACCAGTGCAACACTGTCTAACGGCGCCTATGTATATCGAAACAACACGTTGTGATGGTCAATGTTATTCGGAAGAATTGTTAACTGATGATTTGGATGCAGAGTCTACGGCACAACAACATCATCGTCTAGTAAACTGTTGTTCGCCGAATGTAACCATTCACCGCCAGATTTTAGTTACATGCGATGATCAACAACAACGAATCATCCAATACCCTCAGATCACTCGATGTGAGTGCAAATCCTGTCGTGGAAATTGCTAGTATTTAGAGACAAGAAAGAATATACGAATTAGTGAAACATTGCCTTTTCTTCTTTTTCAAAGAGAGCATGAAAAGAAACAACATGTAGAAATTTGCTTTTTTTGTGGGCGAAATACAAATCATTAAGCAAAAGGAAAAAAGAAGATTATTAATACAGATACATATGTTCATTTTCTCTCGCCTGCTTCGTACTTTTCCTAAGCGTTCACTCTCGATTAACTAACAAGGAAAAAAACAAACAAACATTCTTATGTAACAAAAAAAAAAAACAAGCAAACGAAACAACAATAGCTTTTGTTTTTCTCTCTAAAGAAATCTCCAACTATTTTAACGATTATAATATTAAAGAAAAAAAAATAAATGGCTATGATAATCACAGAAATACAAACGTATTCTTTCTTCAAACAGAGATCTCATAATGTTTATTAGGTGCGTGTGAATTATCTTTTTTTGAAGACGACTGAGACAGTAGTGGTTGTTTGGGATAATCAAAAGCAAATGATTGAAGTGGATGCGCTTGCCGATAGGATTCTGTACGGAGCGTCATAGCACTAGTGGTGGATGCTGTATCACCTTGAAGATCACTATTGATTGTATTCATTCTCTTCGTATGATTAGTTTTTGCAAGATAATCATTAGGTGTGCCAGGAGTGGGTCGTTGACGATGACCATGAACATCGAAGATGTATTCTTCGTTCTCGTCCATGTTATCATAGGAATAACGTGATGATAACGAAACATTTGATAGAGTTCGCGGAAGATTGGTCTTCGGTTTCGATTGAGTCTTGATCGGTTGAATTGGGGACGATGACGACGAGGATAATTGCGAACTTGATGATGTTGGCTATGAATGAGACGATGAAATTCGATATTAGTTCTCAGCATGTTCAACGAGAGCTTACCTGCTGTTCAGGAATTTTTATTGGTTTATGAGAAGACGGTTTTGTTCGATGTTTCGCGACTAAAAAGACCTCCTTGAGAAACTGTTAAGGAAGATAAGGAACGCAGATTTACCATTTTCATCTAGTGGATTCACATGAATAGTAGGTTTTTGTTTTGTCGCTCCTCCATTTTCATCGCGTACAACTCTTTTCTTCTTTCGTTTGGGTCGTTTTTGTTCGTCTTCCTTAGTCACTTCGTAGACAACTTTTGTCGCAGTTTTCTTTGACGATTTCGTCTTGCCATTTGGCAGACGATAATTTTCATAGGCCATTTTTTCAAATAGTGCAACATCGTACCGTTTAGGTTTAGGCGCTTTCAATTGAGGATATAAAGGTTGACATAGGAGATGCGCAAAATTTCGAATGAGCCCTTGCGTAAACACATCGCCTTGCTGACGAAACTTTCCTGTGACTTGTTCATTTGTTGTGCGACCACGTGCAACAAGATACATATGAAATCCAGTTAGACCAAATATTGGTATTGCCAAAAGGCCAACGAGTATCAGTAGAACAATGCAAATAATGAATCGATAGTCCGAAAAGACAGTGAACGTCGTTTTAGAAAGAACAGTTGTTGTTAAAATATCAGTTTCACTCGTCGGAACTAGCGAATCATAGGCGTCAGTCACCAGGTTGGATGTGAGCACTTGCCGGTGACGACCATAAAGTACATAGTACAAACAAAATACAAAAATGAATGTCATATGGACACAGAGTAAAAATAAAAATTGAAAGAAATAACGATAATTACGACGGCCTAAAGAATGAAAGGTCAACGAATAAAACAAGATCAAGTTCATTTTCATATGATTACATACCAACACAATTATTCAACCAAGGACAATGATGATCGAATGTCTAAAAGAAGATTTTGCAATGAAAAGTTCATGCTAAGGAATATCAATATGTTGTTCTATGCACAATTTTGTCAAAAATACATTTACGAAGGTAAATGGATCAGATTTCTATCTGTTACTCGATGTACAAGGTATCGAATAATGCATAAGGACGAAATCAAAACAATACAACTTTACATTTTATATGGTACTCGATCGTCAAAAAATCCATTGAAAGAGAATACTCGTCAATACGTTTCAACTTACATCAATACATCGTTCACAAATTGAGCAATGCGAACATCGTGGTGGTCGGAATAATTTACATGTTCGACAATATTTCATCTGAATGGGTCCTAAATTTAACAGACAGAAGTACAGAACAGCACTAACCAGATAGTTTTTACCTTCATTAATATAAACAAGTCGTGCTTGAGGTTCATATGCGTCATCGTCGTCGTCATCCGTATCAGTAGTTCCTTTTCGTTTCGATGGACGTACATAGAAGCTCACATCTGAATGTTCTTTTTGTGTAGATTGTTCGTAAACACCCTAAAAATCAATGCTTCCGTATTCATAATAAGATTTCATAGGAATATTCCTTACTGGATCCATATAAGTCGCAAGTATAAAATTGCCACATAGTAGCGCAAATAAAAAACAATGGAAAAGAAGCAATAAATAAAGTGATGGTAGAAGAATAATGATCTCTGGGAGAATACAGATCCAGTACGTAAACGAAGTGCTTAGAAGAAGTAGCCAAGCGAATAGAGCCGGAAGACGTTCCGTCGAACAAATTTTTTGCGGACGGCGATGATGAGATTTTAGTTTAGTCTTGACATCGACATCTGACACATGTGATGGTGTTGTCACCACTTGCTGTCGTGATGAGTGTGGTGACATCGACACACATCCGATAATCAATCTGAAATGATCTAAGCATGTCGTCTAAATTTCTCCGATCAAATCGCGAACACCAATGAGATCTTCATAGATACGTTAGTTACCACTAGCGTTAGTCATCGATCATCTTCTAGATGGTAACGACTATGTTTCGAGGTCGTGTATACATATACTCAAAAGCGACGAAAGAGGTTTGTATAGAACGTATAATACAAGAATAAAAAGAGAGAAAGAGGAATGAATATGATTTTTTTTTCGTATAAAGAAAGACAGGAGAATATAGTCAACAGTTATTCGTCATATTGAATGAACCATATGGGAAAGAAGAGAAGAAAAAAACACAAGTGGCAATTATATGGCTAAGAAGGAAAAAACGAAATTCAGTGAGTAGAGTAATAAAAAAAAGTAGAGATTTCGAGAAGAGATACGTCAATATGACTATGCACCCTGGATTAGAAGAAATTATCACGAAATTGCTTGATAGGTTACCAGTTTGATCAACATTCAATAACCAAACATACTTTAATTGAAGAAACTATGTCGAAACAATTGTTGAGAAACATTGTTACTTACGTGAACATAAGGAAGATAATTATCACATTCCAAAAAGCAATAAAAACTCGAAAATACTGCAAACTAACAAGGAATTCACGGATTTTATCACCTAAAATCGACAAAGGAATTTCTATTTCTTCGAGAACAGATGAAAAGAAAACACGATTATTACTGACATGGTAATTTTGTCTCTTCATTTCATTGACTTACCAATCGATGGATTATCAATCATAAAACCAACTTCTTTTCGTTTCCTAAATATGATTAACTATAAATACATGACCTTTTATGCATCAACACATACAATTTCGTATCAATCATTGCACCCGCATTGATTAATAAGGTACTAAAGAGAAATTTGTATAAAATATCTCACAACCTTCCATTCTTCACTCACGAAATCACAATAAACGAAGATATCATCTAAAATCCAAAGCAACAAATCACATCTTGTTCAATAAATAAATAAATAAATAAATAAATAAAATAGATATATTTATATGTATACATGTAAATTTATCACGCAATTCACGCTCACAAACCGAAGATTTTTAATCTGTAGAATAACAAATCGCTATACAATAATCATGACTAGAATTATTGTTTCTTTCTGTTGTTTTTGTATTCGGTATATTCAATCATAGAAAAACGTAATCATCGGAAAGAGAATGTACACGATCATCAGTATTATCATTTAATGATCGACCGGCATCATCCCATGAGTCACGAAATGTGCTGTTATTTGTTGAAGTATTCACAAGAAAATGCTTTTTAGCTGTTGACAGTGGAGATGTATTACACGATGGCAATTTGGTGACGCGAAGGAAAACATCTTCGTCGTCATTCAACAATGGATAATCGGAATTGATCGTACGTGAGTGACTTTCTTGAAATGTTCCACGTTCGATTCGAAATATGGGACACGTACGACGATCACCGGACGCCACATGACAGATGTGACTCCACTAAAACAAGAAGAAAAGCACTATCATCTCCGTTCGTTTACATCAACTAATCAGTTTGCTCTTTTTTTCCTGGAGCATCGCCTGATACTTCCTAACGAGCGGAAAACTATCGTTGATTTTCTGTGACTTTTATCTCTACTTTATCTAATGAGATCTCTTACCATTCATAGTGATAGATGGAAGAGCATATTTACCTGCGCACAAAACATTTCAAAATCAGCTTTATCACGACAATAGAATCCTAGGGTACAACTTGGATCCATCTTTTTCGCAGTTAACTTTTTCGGTGCCGTACACGAATAACTCTAGAGAAAAGAAAGACAATGAGTGGACAACATCGAATACAAAATTGTTTTGTTTTACCGATGTATCAAACGTGTTATCTAAAACGTTCACTGTTGTTTGAATGAAATGTGGATCGAAATTAATGAAACTGTCATCTTGGAAGCCAACGATATAAACCGCATGACGAGGACTTCCGCCAATAATTCCAACAGTTTGCGGTAGTTTGAGTGCATCTTTTAAGTAATTCTCATAGATCAGATCAAGTTCATTTAAACCTAATCTCAGTGGAACAAGGATTAGTACGGATGTCAACCAACGTGTCGATGGATCTGCTGTTCTTGACGTATCAAGCGATGTTCTTTTTGTAGTATTAGGATTTGATAAAGAATTACAACATAAATCATTGACATCTTGACGATAAACTAAGGAAAAAACATGAAAGTCTAAGTAGAGGATTGCTTTTTGAAGAGAAAACCCGTACTGATTGCATCTTGGCTAATGTAAACACGGAGTATTTCTGGAATTTGTTTGCTTTCAATGGCAGCTTGAACTGCTTCTTTCAGACAGTGAGCGGCACTTACAGGTCCGAAAAAATCACCCGGTCGAATGCCGTGTGACGTGCCAAGTTCAACAATTCTATTTGAATAGAATAAAAAGCTTTCTATAAGGATTGAGACGATGAAAATCTTACCTATGAATGCCTAATGGACACTTCGAATTTGGAAGATCTCCGAATAATCGAATGATATCTGTATAGATTTGTTTGTATTGATTGATTCGATTTCCGTGTCGTGTGTAATCGATGGAATTTCGTTTTGGACCTTAAAAGTAACAAAATAATCGAAGATTTCATTCAAGAACATGTCATACATTTCTCAGATATTTGGATGTTTGAATATCCTGTATTAAATGTATTCGTCATATGTACGAGTAATGTTTGAGCAAGTAACATTTGAGCGCAACGTATCATACAACCCCATCCACCATCCGAAGTAATGATATCTCCATTTCGAGAACTTATCAATGGTTCAAATTGTTTTCGATATGAAAAATAAATTCGTTGAGAAAATGCTTTCAAAAAATTTGCATATGAATGGTCAGATTGCGGACGAGGATTATCATCATGAGTTGTTACTAACAAAGTAAATCAATTATTAGAGTTTTTTCAATTTCTATTTACCTTCTCTGCCATCATACTTCGTACCAAGAAAGTAGATCGGTGTTTCACTGGTACGAAAATTCGGTCGCATTTTCACCACCCAACCTAAGAATAAAAAGACAATGAAGAGAAAATATGAATAGATTTGTGCTTAAACTTACGGTATTTCATATGATTCAGAGCTGCTGTTACTTTACTTTTGAGAAATTTGTTATTGCTGGATAATTCTTCATTCACAACTGTAGGTCCCACAGGTTCATTGGTTTGAGTGCGTTGACTGCTGATCGATGGACTTTTGATTATTGTCATCACAAAAAGATCATCGGAAGAAGATGGCGAACTATTTGAAGATCCATTCGGCATTGAAACTTTCAGAAACGAAGAGGAAGTCGGCTTTGGACTGCTCGACACGACTGAAGACGATGTGGATGAAGGCGTTAAAGATCGGTCTTGATTCGAAGATGTAGATCTTGCATTAGCCATGTCAGGTGTAAGCAGATGTGTAGCTGATCGTGCACGATGACGTGGATTGATGAAACTAAATATACGATCATCCTCGCTGTTGAGCATTTTCGTTTTTGATGCTTTAAAAAACATGTCGATCGGAAGAGAAATCGATCAATTCTTGTTTATTTTCATGTGTTTACGCCATGCTCATCCTACACATATACACATCACATCTCTAACGGTTGATTCGTAGAGACATTTGATCGAGCTGATAAAACAACGAAAGATGGCGCTGGTATTAAAATAAAGGTAAGTATATATATATACCGTATGTATATTATCGATGTCAAAGCAAGATAATTACAAATGAATACACAAATACAAGTTAGGACGAGAGATCGATATCAAATGAGACGTTATGAACACGTCAAATATAATTTAAAACATCGCCGTCGGCTTGCTGTGACTATATTTAAAAACGTTGATAGAGTTGAAAATTTTCTTCAATGAACACTACTTTTTTTCGAGCAATTGTGAAAGAAAAGCACCTGAATGTGTGATATCAATGCGTTAATAATGTACTTGCACATCATTACTAAGAAACTACTTGCGTCGAAGCATTTGGAATTTACACTTTTATGTTTTTTTTTATAAGAGTTCATAAATTTCACATGTACGTCAAACCAGAAGCACCGACATTAAGAGGAATATAGTGTATCATTTTTATTTCTTCATGGCATACGATGACATAAGTTTACGCTCTGTCTATATCTGCTTGTTTATCATTGTTCTCTAGTTGTGCAGGATCCATTCGTGATTCTAATTGAAATTGTCGCCATTGTTTCAAAGCTGCAATGCTTGATGGTTCGAAACGATCAACAATGAGAAACATTTGCACAGCTCCATCTTCATAACCAACGACTAAGGCTTGTCCATCCTGTGTTGCCATCGCTTGGCGAACTTTAGCTGGACATTTCATATCCGCTATTTGTTGACCATCGATTGTGCGAAACACACGGATCGTTCGTTTGCCTTTGTTGTAATAGATGACATGTTTATTTGTCGGCGTAAAAAATGCGATCACATCATAAACACCTTCAGCAACTTTTCCAATTAATGTTCGAACAACTTTACCATTTCGAAATTCGAAGATCTCAAGACCACCACGTGTTGGAGCGTAGAGACCATACTTACCATCAGAAGATATCTGACCACTCCATTTCGGAATTGTTAAATGAATCTACACAAGAGAGTAAAGAAAATTTACACAAGCTTCTGTTAAAAGAAATTCGAGAAGTTGACTTTGACCTATCACCTTACCTTTCTATCTCGAACATTGACAACAACACCTTTATCTGCATCGATCAATCCAATCAGATGTGCTTGTTTTGGAATAGTTACCATGGATATAATATCTTTATAGCCGCTATAAGTTAATTTAACATTGTGTATATGTTCACCAGTAATTGGATCATGTACAGAGAGAACATCGTTATTTTTCTTTTCTTCAATAAATAATAAGTAGGTGTCTTCGGCGGTACATATTGCTTTCTTAGGTTGAAGCATACGCTTGATGATATACGATCGTTCGTACACCATATCGCCGTCAGGTATAGCGTAAGTCACAGCTCGAATGGTTTGACCAAGCGGGTTGTTATTCGAATTTGCATTGTTCACTTGTGCTGGATTTGCTGCTGTGATCGGTTCGAAACTTAACACTAAAACCTGCAAAATGTCAAATGAAAACATTTGTCGTCAATTACTGAAATCATTCTTTTACCATTGTTTCAGCTGTATGAAGGAATAATTGAAAGATATTCTTAATCTTTGTTGAAAATGTTATTCGGCGCTCTTCGACATCCCAAATAACGAAATTACCCGATTCAGCGGCTGCAGCAAACAAACCATTTGTGCACATTGCTGTACCTAAACAAAATATGCATACATTGCTTCGTTTCTTCTCCGTATTTTCCCTCTAATTTACATTGATAGATTGATCCATGTGGACTGGCAATCAGTTGTCCTTTGATAAAACCTGTTTTCATATCAAACAGACATAGTTGTGTACGTGTCTGTGCCATAATAATTTGTGTATCAGTAGAAATATGCATAACTTCAATAGCTTTATCCAACTGTGTGATTGAGATATCTTTTTCTCGTGCATTCTCTAAATTCCATACTTTGGTTGTCTTGTCCATACCAGTCGTGATGACATAGTTGTTTCCACTACTACCCGATGATAAACCCTTAAGAACAAGGATTCGACCGAAATGTGAATCGAAGGACGCAACTAATTCTCCCCATTCGATTTCGAAGACGAAAACAGTGGACTTCACGCACGCTATACAATAGCTAAATGAAGAACAAGTCTGATCATCGTTGTAATAAATGTGGATGTAGTGATAATTAATTACCGGTTGTTATGTGAAAACGCCGCTGTATATGTTAAACGTTTCGTGCCACTGATGATATTTCGGACACCTCCAGGTAATACACATGTTTTCCATAGATACGATCGAAATGAAAAGATTTTAAAGCCTTTGAAGGTGACTGCCATGAGATAGTTTTCATCGGCACTTAATATGAATGCAAATATGCTGAAAAGTAGAGTTATTGACATTCGTACAAGTCACCATCGAAATAAGCTTACCGATCTTTGTTTTCGAATAACTGATGATCGAATGCCCAGATGCGTTCTGTTGTGTAATTGACTGGATGTGGCTTATTTATATAAACTTCAACATTATTATCATTAATTTCACAGCAGGTATACATTCGACGTTTGTCGCGCGTTAATATCAATGCACTATGAATATTCTTATGGCCGCCCGTTAAGCAACGTGGTTCAGCACTATCATTAACATCTGCCGAAGAGTCAGAGTTCGCCACAAAACAATAATCGATCGTCATACGATCGCGAGCAACTTCTTGATCAGCTTTGATTTCTTCCGAACGACACACAATTTCTACTTCGGGTCCGGGTAATAACTCAATTTGAATAATTTGATAGCGCGTTGGTTGAGTTGAGAGTAGTTCACCTCAAAAAGCAATTCCCATCCAAAGTGAACAGAACAAATGCGTTCTTCCTACCTTTATTCGTATACACTTGATACATTTGTGAAGTCCACAAAGCAAAATGTGCGTTACTCACTGCGGCACCTAACAATGGATCTGCTGGTTGTTGACCCGATGTTGGTTTTGGTTGATTTTTGCCTCCATTTCCGGGAACTTGATAATCACGTAAGATATACTCTCCAGTTAATAGATTACATATAATATACTGATTACTGATTGTTGTTGTCACACAGTAACGCTGATCAGGTGCAACAGCTAAGTAAGTCATAATACCTTCGATTTTCGGATCGATAATTCTGACGATATCACCACTGGATAGATCGAAAACAATGAATTTATTCGATACTGTAAGAAGATGTTGACCGGATGAGACAACTTCCAGACCGTAGACAGCGAATTGATGTGCTTCCAAGGAGTAAACTAATGGCCCACCTGGCGATGCTAATGTATTGAAAGCAGGTATAAGTCCCATATGATGAAGTCCAATATTTTCACATTGATCGATGAACGAAGCAATTTTTCGACATGACACATAGAATGGCAGAAGACGGCCGATGATTTGACATGTTAAATTATTTGGATCAGCAGCTAAGACTGAACTTGACAAACGAAGTGCATCACTCATTAGTTTCACCTGAACAAGTCAGAAGACGAATACTGGCAGCTTTAAATAGGTGCTTCTTACCTCTTTATCATGATTATATTCAAATGTACTTTCATAATCATAAATACAACTGTTCAGTGGCATGCAAGATAATTTGGCATGAATAAAATCATAATTAAATAGAACATGATGATAGAGATCGTCGTCACGTTCCGACAGAATCAATTGAAACGGTAGTTCACTTAGTTTACGTAAATTGTATCGAATAGCTGATGAGCTGGCGTTCGCTCCCGCCGCTGCTGCGCCTTTATTAACGGTAAAGATCAATGGTTGTGCTGGCACTTTACGATCAGCTTCGCCGTCTGTTGAACTTAGATTAAACATACGTTTTTGATTATCCGTAAATTGAAATGGTTTCGGACGACCAGCCCATATACCAAGAAAATAATCGGCCATTTGAGAATGGTATCGGCGACGTTGATCTGGATTAGCTAGATACCGTTCATGTGAGACTAAATTCAAGACGATGTATCATTCAACACGGGCACTTTTTTAGTGTGTTTACCTTCCGCGAATTGCCGATGATACCAACTAACAACAGACACACCTTCGGCTTCTCGTTCAACTAAATAGTTCGGTACGTCATTTCGTATACGTGTCCATAACAATGGAGGAATTCGTCGAATTGGCGGTAAATGGTACTGATAAACGTCATTGAGAACAGTTTCATCTAATGATATCAGATCTTCTAATTCTGCTTCACTTAAACCGGATCTCGATGCAGTTATATATGACAGAGCATGTTCGACTAAAATATGACCGTGCTGATTTTCGATACGTCCTAATAACTTATTGATCGATGTGGAAACCGTTTTAGCTAAATCTTTCTCTTGAACTTTTGTATAAGATTTCCATAGTTTGATTTCATCAAAAACCAGTTTAACATACAATGGAATATTACACTCAGCTAATCGCTCGTGAACCAATGCCCTAAAATTTTCACTCAGATGAGTTTTGAAGATTAAGTAAAACAATGGCTTTACCATTGAATATCTGTGATTGTTCGGTGTTGACGTGCTAACCAAGCTTTCAAAACAATTTTCCCCAGGTCTTCACCCAATGGTTTAATCTAGATCACGCAAAAAACAAAATCAAACCAAAGTTCTAAGCAAATACTGTATACTTGGACGAAATTCTCTGGACTATCAATGATATTCCGAAGTGTATTTAAAATATTAAATATTCCCGGTAAGGTCGAAACAATCTAAAGTGCAGTGAAGATTTTCAACTGGAAAAGTACTTCGTAATAGAATTCATACAAGTTTGACATGATTCGGTAATGTCGGTGGAAACCATGACATTGAATGAGCACCATCAGCAGATGAGATTTGATCCAGGGAATCCAAAAATATACACAAAGGTTTATCACTCGGCGTTTTTTCCATCAAACGTTTGAAATAGTTGATTAGCTGAGACAACTCAGTCGGTATGGTATTCTCGGAAACTTGATAGAGAAAACATAATTGTTGGCAAATGTTTCGTAACAAGGGTCCAATCGATGAACTATCTGGTGTTGTGCCGAGAAATCGGACAACTCTTATCGGTGTGCAATGTCGTGTTGGAAACCATGAAGATGATTCGAAAGCGATCTTCGCTAACATACTCGATTTACCACAACCACCTTCGCCCCAAAGAACTAACGGCTGTTTGGATGAACCTTGAATGTAATTGCGAACACGCTCGAGAATATCAGTACGGCCTTGAAAATCCTGGCTGAAATTATTGACCACATGAAGTTGTTGAAGAATCTCCGTAAAAACTCTGCAAAGAAACAAATCTTCTTCTAGTGAATGAAGGGTTCATCTCATCCTACCGATTTGTCGGAAAAGTATTCTGTTTTCTTACGCCCTCATCAATCATGTCGACAATGCGCCGATAGAACGTCTCAATGAAATCTTTCAAATAGTCGGCATGAACTGTCTTATTTAAACCATCATCGTCTGACCATTCGACTGTATATCGAATAATACTTGATTCAGGTAGAACGGCTGGCACCTAGAGATAACAGAATAAAACTTATACTTTCATATAATTTTTCAACTTACCCGAACATCTCGCAAATCCGATAGCATATCTTGTGCTTCCATATCGACCTTTTTCGATGCTATATCGATGAACTTCATCGAATGACGTAACAAATCGACATTGATGTTTTCAATATGACGAAAAAATGCCAACGTATGTTCAAGTTTATCTTTCGCATTGATAATTCCTCGTACTACTTCTTGTTCAGTAACTGAATATTGAAACGATACGACCTCTTCGTTTTCGGTAAATTTTGTTCAACATTTCTTACCTGACCAATTGTATCGGTGGTTATCTTGCGCCGTAAATTTTCCTTGTTTAAATAATTCTAAAGCAGCAACACGTACAGCACGATTTAGTTTACCCATTGTTTCCCACCAAGAACTTTGATCTTCTTCCATCAGTCGTGGATGTGCTCGATTCGTGAAATTTGTGAAAATTGAACTGACGGGTTGCAAACAAAATAAACTTGGTATATTGTTCGAATCGAGTTTGTACCATTGATTGAGCAGGCGTGCATCTTCTTTACTAGAAACCGATATTACCATGCGAAATTCTTCTTCTTCAATCTTTGTTGGCAACGGTCGATAGCCATATTTTTGACCGAGGAATACCTATGTACACGATATAGTCAGATAAGTTTGATTTCCGTTCGGAAACATTAATGGTTCTTCTTCAACGGAACAAAAGAATAGAAATTATATATTCATTTTTTAGATAAATCAATATTTGCTTTAACTAATCAATGTTTCTTTCTATTTATGAGCAAAAAAATTAACTTTTTCAATGTTATTCTCATACCACAAAGTTCGGTCCAACAGAAACTCTTTGGCAATTATCAATTTCTTGCATACATAATTCCGTTGTTTTATGATCGTCCGTTGCTTCATCGCGCACACCCCAACGCATATCCACGACTTGAAATTCTAACCCGTGCTTTTCTCGGCAATACTCTTTCAACTTGGGATATGTATGTTGCATCAACGAATTACGTTCCATACTCGTATCTAAGGAAACCTCGTAGAATATATTGTCTCTCGAAATCGAAGAAGAATTTACCGGTAAAAGTAGATGAGGTGAAGATACGAACGATTTTTGATGCAAGACTTGGTAGTCTGTCCAGTTTACCATAGAAAACATGCTGAAGAATTTCAGCTTGTTCTTCTGTATATTCTTGTTCAGGCATAGTGCTTCGTTATTGAATGTCCGAAAGAGTAAAAAAGAAAAGTTGTCGATGAATAAATACTACTTCTCTTTTCTTTTTTTCTTTCTTTCTCTGTTGTCAATCGTAATCACCTTATTAAATTTTCCTTGATAATGAGAAACAGAAAGCAAAAAACACCGGAGAGAACTCGCTGGTGATTTTCTCTTCAATGTTGTGTAATCAGCTGGAAGCAGTCACAGATCGTTCTGGAAAATTATCCTTTTCAGCGATGAGAATTTCAATTCCATGCCACGACAAATGATCGTTCCTGTCAACTAGCGACATCTTTACGAATTCTTATTTTCTCTTTTGTTTGAGAAAGCTTCAATGGGATTGATTCCTTTAGCAAATTTTATCACCGCCCCAGAGAAGAAACAAAAAAAAGGAAATAATGATGTCACTATCCAATTCATTTAGCCAATCTATAACCAGTTCTTTTTCATTCATTCGATGAATGTTTTTGTGTCATCAATAGTCACTTTTACATATTGCCGTGCGACTTTGTGATTTATTCATGGTAAAGTACTATCATGAAATTACCAGCGAAGAAAGAAAACAAATACAGTGGGGTAATTTCATCATCGACGAAAAATAGTAAGTTTCGTTGAAGAAAATTTTCGACCAGTTTATCTTGTCTCAAAGGTTGACCTTCATAATATGATTTTATTATTTTGTTTTTTTTTCAGGCACGAACGAATCACAAGTGATTTCATGAGCGACACGTTTCGATCCTTTTCCCTTTTTGTTTCATGGCCATACGTTTCGGATGCTTGATTCGATTGGTATGCGTGTATTTTGAAAAAAGTAAAGCAGTTAAATTTTGAGTGAATTTGGTATTCTGACAATGGCAGACAGTTGTCAATTGTAGAGAGATATGAGATAGAAGTAAACCATTCTTCATCAACGAGATTGATACGTAATAAATTCGATTGATGTTTCAGATAAATTTATTGAAAAAAAAAGACAAACGATGAGCCGAAACCAAAGCGAAAGTGCATCAAGATCTCGATCGAGATCAAAGTCACGCTCCCGATCATGTTCATTGTCATCAACTTCATCGTAAGATTCTCATGTCTATATGAAAGACACGCGAAAAATGCATTGAATTTAAATAGGGGTCGTGCAGCAAAGGCCAAAGATTGGAATGGCGAATCAGGTTATCGTCTACACGTATCACCATTAAATCCGAAAACATCACGGCAAGATATTGAAAAAATATTTATGAAATTCGGAAAAATTAATGAAGTATGCTATCGCATCACGGATATCTAGGTTTTTTTTTCTCAACTGAATGTAATTTGTATAGGTTTGGATGGCTACTAATCCACCGTGTTTTGCTTTTGTGAATTTTAAACATCGAGCTGATGCTGAAGAAGCTATACGAGCTATGGATGGAAAGTAAGTTAACATGCTGATTGCATTCGTTAGGATTTTGTATGTTTTCTTTTCTTGTCTTAGATCGATTGATAACTCGCGTATTGGTATATCATTTGCTCGTAAACGTACTGTTGGTGGTCGTCGTGGTGGTGGCTCTTTTGGTAATGGGGGTGATCGATATTCACGTGGAGACTATGATTCGTCACGAAATCGTCGACGATATTCTCCACGGCAATCGGACGATCGGCGCGATAGGTTTGTCTGATAATCCAGCTATTGTGAACAAGCAAAAGTTTGCGATGGTTTAGTTATAGAAGTTATGATCGACGACGACGCTATTCTCGATCACGTAGTCCAGTTAACAAGCGTGATTATCGCCAACGGTCGCGATCATCATCGCCAAGGTAAGTTGTTCTTGTTTTCTCGGAAATTTCCATTCATAAGGGGTTAATCGATACGATAAGATAGTCTCTATAGCAATGAGTGCGAGATAATACTCTTCACCAATCATACGATGTATTCAGTCAACTTTTTTTCTCTTAAATTTCATGCTTTTATTCGTTGTAGACCACGTCGTAATCGTCCATCGTCAAGAGATCGATCACCGCAACAACAAGCTTCAAATGTTGTTCATAGGTAATTTGCTTACGATTAAACAACTTGTTCTTACAATTTCTCGACTTTAGATTCGAAGAAAGTGACGATTAATCAACCAATTATTCAATCCACGAATTAAATGATTTGTTTTGGAATCTGTAAAGAAAAAAGACATAAATCAATTTCATTATCAGTTCTTCTGTTGTCGCTTTTTCCTTCTTGTTTAACTAAATGATGTCTTGCTAAACAAATTCTCTTGTGTATTGTACCAAGTTTGACTAGTGTTTATTTGTTGTTCTAGATTATCTTCAATTTCGTTTGAAATTTATCCAGAAAATTCACAGCATGGGTCGTAGTCGAGATCGTGAAGGTTCGCTTGCTTCAACTGGCTCGGGGCGCACAGCACGATCAAAGAAATGGGTATGCGATAGGTTGATTAGGAAAAACAAATATTTGTGTATATTTGACAGGATGGCAATGCTGGTCATCGACTTCATTTATCTGACTTACCAGTGGGTGTTAGTAAGCATGAAATCGAAAAAATATTTCGTCCGTATGGCGAATTAAATGAGGTTTGGACTTCAAGTGCATGATTGGTCTTGTTTCTATGAATATGAGCAATTGTATAGATTTGGGTCGCGTCGAATCCACCTTGTTTCGCATTTATCAACTTCACTCACCGATCCGATGGTGAACGTGCAATGAAAGAACTTGACGGAACGTAAGCGAATCGCTCTTTTGAAAATAAGTCCTAAACTTGTTTTTATAGAACTTTAGCTGGTGCAAGAATTGGCCTGAGCTGGGCCCGACCACGACACTATGGTGGCCGATCACGTCGCCGTAAATATAATGATGCTGGCTCTCTTTTTTTTTAAAATCTTTATCAATCTGTTTTATCCAGGCTCACCATCTCCTTATCGACGTAGAGACCGAGACTCTTACAGCAGTCGTCGCCGCCGCTACTCACGGTAATTCGCTTGGCACTAATTTGTCCTAGAAGTTTCAGTATTCATCCTTGTTCTTAGCTATTGTTTTGATCAATGAGACTTGTGTGTGATATGAGAGAAAGAGAGAGTTTCAATTTGTGTTGTTCACTCTGCTTGTCGATATATATTTCGTTATTTTTCTAGCTGTTGATGATTACTGGATGAAAATGATTGACGTGGGTGGACTATCAGCAGCAGTGTTTGAAAATGAATAATGTGGTTTTGTGCTCGAATCTTGTTTCTTTGTTTACTCTTCTCCTTCTCTTCTATTTGTGTATCTTCTACCTAATGGGTGGATCGATGTCATGTGCTTAGTCACATTCTTTGGCAGAGAAAGAACAAAGGTATGTTATCTGAGTACATCCTTTTTTAAAAAAACAAGTCAACCGATGAATATCCCGCTTTTTTTAAGTTCAGTTTTAGTTTGTTTTCTTTTTTCTCTGTTGAGAAATATTTTTATTAAAATCGTGCTTTGTACATTATAGAAGCCGTTCGCGTAGCCCACACTATCGACGCTCTGGCGATAGCCGCCGACGACGAAGTCCGCGTTCAACATCGCGATCGCCTTCCCGATCACCACGAAGTAACCAATTCTTGTGTCTGTTCTTACTCAACAATCTTAAATTTTCTCAAACCTCTAGGAAATTCCCGTCGAGATGACCGTCAGAAAACATCGAGACGAGAAGACAACAAACGTCGTCGACATTCTTCGTCACAATCAGATCGTAATTCAAACCATTCACCACGACGAGACAACAAGTAAATAATCGTCTTTATTTTTTCTCATTTATTATACATGTTGTTGTCTTGCTCTCAGAAGACAATCAACGCGTAGTCCGAGCAACGAACGTCGACGATCAGCGACACCGAATGGTGATCATCATGCGGTTGAAACAGGTGGTAATCACGCTGCTGAGTAAGTCAATCATGTGAGGATCGATTTCTTATTCTGCTTATTTTCTCTTCTAGACTTGAAGTCGATGAACAGGATTAATAAACTACACAAACCGGTATCCGTCGACCACCTGAAAAGACTCGAACTATGTTGTTTTTTTTATGATTGTTTTTTCGAAAATTCTCTTTATCGTAATCCTTTTCTTTTTTTTCCTTCTTTGTGTTGATCTACCAGAGTTCCTTGCAAGGTGTAATGATATATACTTCTTTAATTTAAACAAGAAACGATATGTGTTTGTTCTTATAGCTAATATGAAAGCAAAGAGTTCGTTTTTTTTTTTCGTAATTATTATTGCAAAAAAATAAAACATAAACATCGATACATTTACTGTATGCTGAAAACATCAAGGCGGAACGATAAGGAGGTGGAGGACGTTTTCGAAAAACTCACCTTGACACTTCCGGGAACTTTCAATGGTGTCGCTAGATGTAAAAACAGAACTTTTCCTTTCCTCATTCATAGAGATCAGACCATGGAAAAAGAAAAAGCAAATGGAGAACAAGTTGAGAAGAACTTTAATTTTATTTCTATTTCGAACCGAGTTTTTCCTCCTCTGCTTCTTCTTCGCCAGTTGAAGTTATATTCAATTCTTCGTAAAGTAATCGAGAAGAAAAAAAAACGATAAGAAAAGCAATTGTTATATGAAGTATATATCGGTCGGAAAGGTAACAACAGTAAGAAAAGGAAGAGAATTGATTTACCGGCAGTCAAAACGAACGTCGATGACAACGATATAAAACAAAACACGCACAGAGTGAGAATGTCTCGTTTTGATTTTAAAGAATTCTTGTTTAGTACTTTAAAAGTCTAGTCAAGCAATTGTCGTTATTTTTAGATGACCGATAGACTTTCGCTTGAACAGTTAGTTCATCTGTCCTTGGGTGATCCCGAGACAGGTGCAGTGAATTTTAACGTACTAAAAACTCTTCTTTTGCAAATGCTTCGTGCAATGAATTTATATAATTATAAGCCGATCATGTCCGATGATGATCAACAAACTCTCGAAGAAGCACTATCAACATCGACAAATCAACGCGATGAACTTTCAGTTAGCAACAATCAAAATGAGATGAAGAAAAAATTACAATTGAATAAACGCGATCGAAGTTCCGATCGTCTCAATACCTTAGAAGAGAAAGTCTTTCGGTTTGAATCTCAATTGAACGCACTGGATCAAATACCATCCAATGCCGAATTAATCGACCGAGCGAAGCAAATACCAAAGAAGGCCACGGATGAATCTGACCAAACAACAGATCGTCAAGGTCCAATATTAGAAGTCTGGCAATATACACAAATGGAAAAACGAATTGAATCAGCTGAAAATGGAATAACACGAGTATGTCGATCGCTAGAACTTCTTCAGTTTTCTGTATATCTTCATTCGTTAGCTTGCTTCATTACTTCAAGATCTGTTATCTGATATGAATGATTTGAAAGAATCACATGAAACATTGCACCGAGCAGCAGATGAACTTAGAACAGCCATCGGAGCGATCGATAAAGATAAACATGAATGGGTACATACAAATATTTTTCTTGATCTAAAAGTGACTTTCTACTTCAGGCAAACAAATCTGACCTTGCAAATTTGGATGAAAAAATTCGTCATTTGGAGAATTTAATTGTAAGATACGTCTTCGTTTGCATTATCAGCTGAACTATTTCCATTTCAGTCCTCGCTACGAGATCGCTTCAATGATTTACCAAAAGAAACTAATACTCTAAATGGGCATGCACCACTCGATTTGAGCAAATTTGTTACCTGGACTCAATTCGATGGTGCACTCAATGACATTCGGCAATCAATGGAGAAACTTTCCGTACGAGATAACAGTCGATCATCTCCCGCGCACGGTCAAACAGTAGATAAAATTGATCATGGATTCGAAATTTTCACATTCTGTTTTTTTTTTAATATTTTAGATAATACGAGAAAAGGTAAGCGCGTAAACATTTCACTTCTTCGATGGAATCAGAAATGGTTTTCTTTGTGCGTAATCACAATCTAAAAATAACTCGTATTTATTTAGGAAGAATTATCAACAGATGGATTAGCCGATGTTTTCGAACAACTCCGATCATTAAATGATCGATATGAACAATTGAAAGAATTAACCGATGCACTTGAAGTACAGAATTACTAATGAATATTCGTCAGAGCAACATTCCGTTTTGTTCTTAGGAAAAAAAGCTCAATCGAGAAGCATTTGATGATTATAAAACAAAACATAATGATTTTCTCGATCGTCTCGCTGCATTAGAGCGAGATCTAGATGGCATTCGAACGCATGAAACAACCGTAAGTTGTTCTCCTTTCCATTTGCGATGTCAATCATATCGTGAAATTGCAGCATAATACGATTTGAAATCTTACAACGAATCATGCTGGTCTTCACGAGTAGATTTGACACCTTCAACCGTGCGTTCACAATCCAAATGAGAGTCAGACAGAAGAAGAAGAAGAAGGAGTAGAGCAAAAAGAGAAATATATGATTTTGCTAAGCGAGAGAAAGATAGGCTAAATAAGCACGAAGAAAATAGCTTTATCATTTTATTCATCATGTTGGCTAACTGAACAAGTAATAAATAGAGCGACAGAATTGAGATAAGAGAGATACAACAGATGTTCTTATATTTTTTTAGCGCATGTCAAATATCAACATAGTTCAGAAAAAGTGCGTCTTCCTTCCTTTAACGTCTGCACAAAATCGCATGAATTGGAAAAGATTAGGTGTTCATTTACGTTATGTATTTTACCAAATACGAACGTTTAACGAACCCAATATACGTTCATTGCTTCTTAAGTGTGTGTATGTGTTGATACTAAAAAGGGTTTATGAAAAACATTTGTGTAGAAAATTTCAACCAATCAAAGATTTATTTGAACTAATTATTGAAATATTGTTTACAACTAATTCGATTGATGATAATCATAAGCGATTATCTGTAGAACATGCCTTTGTCCTATATTTTTGATTGTTTATCTTTCGTAGAATGCTGTGTCCGCTGGTGATATCAAGAAAGAAAACGCGACTGTACAGGTGCGGTTGTTTTTGAATGAGATCGTTTTGTTGATTTGCTTTTCCTATAGTCAAGAGCGGACTCATTCGGTGATTTATCCGATTTTCGAACGGCGTTGCAGCGTTTACGTGAAGATTTGGATCGACTCAAACAACAAATTCAGGATTTAATTAAAAAAGGAAATTTATCAAACGACGAACTTGACGTAAGTTGATATGTCTTTTGCTTTATGATAAATCATGTGAAATCAAATATTATTCTATTAGACTTTGAAAAAATTAGTTCAACAATTAGATCAAACAAAAGCTGATAAGATCAATGTTAATAATGAACTTGATAAGGTAAATATCGACATGAATGATTAGAATAACATTCAATCAACATGCGAATTCTTTCACAGAAAGTAGACAAACGAGATTTGGACACTCGAGTTTTGAAAAAAGATTTCAAAGCTGCTTGTAATGATCTATCGCAAAATATCAACGATTGTTTGCAGAAATTCCATGTGCATGTATGATGAGAGCCGCTCGATGTTCGTCTCGATTAATTTTTGCTCGTTGAATCTCTTTTAGGATGACATACAAAAGCAGGACATACAAAAGATCAATCGTGATATAAATGAAAAATCAGACCGTGCTGAACTTGATGCACTACGGGATTATGTGGATAAACAAATGAAGAAACTGAAGAAATTAGCGGTAAGTTATACGATCGGGACATTTCATTCTATTTGCACAGATGTAATGTGAGAGATGCTCAGAAACACTCATTTTTGCTTTTTATATATCGGAGTGTAACTGTTTCATATTTTGTGATTGTACAGAAAGAGCAGCAGCAGCAGACACAACAGCAACATGTCCACGTTATGTCAGAAGATGAGGCGGCTGGTTTACGAAAACAGCTTATTCGTTTTCACTGCATCAGCTGTGATCGTCCGATTGACGCTCAACCGCACCCGTTCGTGTTCTCATCACATATATTCTTTTTTCTAACCCAATTAAATGTTCTAGACAGCAGCCGAGTCTACCCGTAAATCAGGCTATGCGTCCTATCCAGTCACCCCGGCCGTATACAACTTACGAACTGGATCAAATACGGCAATTTCAAAAGAGGTAAACTCATCATTCGCCGTTCATTTGATAGTTTTACTGTTGTTATATATATATATATATTCTAGTCAACAGTTTAGTAATGATTTCAGTAGCGGCGTATCGGATGTTTATGCAGCAATGCGACAATGTGGCGGTTCGCACACAACAACTCTACCATACAAACGTCAAATTAAAACTCAGTAAACAGTTCGTTTCATCGTAAATATGTAACAAACTCTCATATTTTAGGCCATCCGTTCCTGAAGAACCCTTACTCACCAGGTAATCAGGCATAGTATATCATTGCTCTTATCAGTACTTAACTGAATTTCCATTTAGAAATGAAGTGGATATCAAAGGTCACGATGGTGTCATCTACAAAGGTAGAATTACTGTGGACAAACTACCAGCCGTCGATATGCATAAAAAGAATTCGGTTGTTTTACTTGCACCTCCGCCGCTACTACGATCTCGTTCCGATCCTCATCATCAATCACCACAGCCACGTGAATCACCCGGTAATGATCAAGATCGAAATAGTGTCTCGCCTACCATTCCCAGTCTTGGACCAATTATACCTCGAGAGGAATCATTCACATAGAAGCGAAAAAGAACTCTCTCCCGAAAAATTTGCTTTTCATTTCACTATTGTATTTGCTTATTTTTATATTCACATCATATGCAATATCTTCTTCGCTTGTCATATTTTCTTTTGCACAATTTCAAATTTCTCTCGTTTTTTTTTACTATTATTGTCTCAATTATGTCTATCTATTTATGCGATGATGAATGAATCGATGGTAATTTCAAACTTGTTTTCTTTCCGTAGATATGAAGCGTGTACATACTCTTGAACGAGAGATTATAAAGGAAGATGAAGTGTTTGCACTCGAGAAGCAGGAGGACTCGTTTCCGGTTAAACCTAATTTTAACTGGAACGAAATCAATCTCGAAGATCTTTTGGAAGTTCATCAACTAAACTCGAATGATTTTTTTGAGCAACTCATAAACTACATTTGCCAGAAGAAACGGAAAAGTGTTGCTAAACTAGAAGAATCCATAGACAGCGAACACATGTGCTCGTGTGATGGCGATCCTTGGCCTAATGATCAACCAATAGCTAAAATTGAATCGAACGATAAAACAAGCAATCAATCGAATGATAAATTGTCTTCTTCTTCCTTTAGCATTGAACAAACATCAAACCAGCCAACAGTATATCGTACTGCATCAGCAATCATTCATTGTCTAATCACTGATGTGCTTAGCAATCGTTTAGCTACTAACGAGCAGTCATTATCTGTCGAAAACATTCTCAGATCATTATTCAAAGTCGATAAAACTACCTCGACTCATTCGTTACTTTCGATTTCACCTATAGTATAAACATTTGATTGCGTATTCGATCAAATCGGAATGTGATCAACGTCGATACACGGAAGAAACGATTAAAACACTTATCATACTTGAAGCAATCAATGATTGAAGATCACTAGTCGACCAGCAAGATGCAATAAACCTTTCTCGACGTAATTCTATATAAATAATTCATTATATTTTCACACTTTCAAACAACTCATTCGCACTTGCCCTGTTCGTTAAACGCGACTTCTTTTCTTCAATTCATCTATTGTTTTCTTTTCGTCGTTACAATAAACTGACTCTTCAATTCCTCATCAATGTCCTGTCAATTGAATTGATTTCTCTCGAGGTGACATAAGATTTTCTCAAGGAAATCGTCACAATAGTCGATCATTTTATTCACATTACATCGCACTACATCAAGAGGCATGACTCGTGCCCTCGCTCGCGTGTGTGACATCATCGAAAGCAACTTTAGCAATATCTTCATCTGTAAGTGATGATCATTTTGAACGCGCGCGTTCATGTATGCACTTAGTCAAGCAAATATTTACTCAGTCACTCATCTGCATAATCTTTTGATCTGTTGAGCAAAAAAAAAGAAGACGAAATGCCTTGATTCTTACTGATTCGATTGGTGAACAATAACAATTTGAGCCAATGAGAAGAAGAAAATGTTCTCAAACACCATCTGTTAACTATTCGAACGAGAAACTTCAAATAAGATGAATCACTGGCTAGTCAACAATCAATCGGACATATCTAGATCTCGAAATGATAACGAAACAAAATTAATCAAATCATATGAACCGTTGACAAATGCAAGCATGTTTATTTTTCGGTTTGATCGTGTCTCATTATCATACAGATCAAAGTAAATAATATTTTACAAATGAATGAGTAAATAAAACAATCTAAGTTGATTATTGAAATAAAATATTGACAAAGTGAATTTGAACACACGCTGAGAGTCACAACTATCACATTTCGTGTCTGTTGAATGTATCATCTTGACTGAATTTATCAATTCGATTTGTGTTCTACTTGAAATGTCTCTAGAGAAAAATATTCCGACAAGTGACAAAAAGAGAAGAATATCATATCTCTGCACGATAGTCACTAAACAATCTTTTTGCTTGGACGTACTTTAGAACTTTTCAAGAGTCTTAGCAGTCGATTCATCGAAAAACAGAAGCAAACTGATTTCAAATAATAATAAAAAAACGACAAACGTTAGAAAGGAAACATATTAATATCAGCCATTCGATGGTTAGTACTTCCGCTGTTTGATGCCACGTATTGCATCTGATGCAATCGATATATAGATGAATATCTTCTCACATTATGAACGTCTGTGAGTAGCACTTAGAAGTGATCGGTTCAAAAAGAACAAAGAAGAAAAAACATGATGACTATGATGTGTTGGCCGTGATGATGATGATGATGATGTCCAGAAACAAGCAACAGTTGTCGTTTGACACATTGTCTTGATCGGATGCATCGTTGAACAAGATTGGAAAGTAGGTGTGAGGAATCTTTCCAATCAATCGAGAAGAAAAAAAGGAGGAGAAGAAGACAAGCTGTCACTGGTACAAGTGTTCAGATACTTGACCTAACGTTTTCGTCTGATCTTTTCCGAGATGCATCATCTCACATGTGACAGTCGATAAAAAAAACCATATAACGGGCGGCAATCATTCTCATTTGACGCACATATATAAAGCAACAGAGAAGAAAATGATCCGAGTCATTTATCTTCTTTAGTATTCTCACGCAAACTTCAGTAAGTAACTTTGATAGAATTTTGCCGTCGGGCGCGAGCGGCGTTTATTTTCTTCGTTGTAAACTTGAGTGAATTAACGAACATTTTAACACTAGATTGATAAAGACAAAAACAAAAGTTGACGGGGAGGCATCGAGAAAAGTCTCAATTTCCTTTTTTTCCGCCTACACCTTTTCTCGAAAGGCGTGGCTTCTCATTTTCGTTTTTTTTTGTGTCTGCCAGTCAAGACAATTAGTTTCGCATGTATACACCTTTCAATGATGAGATTTCAATTCGCATATACGAATCAATCATTCGAGTGCTGTGTTAATGATACGTTGAACAGGAGAAAGAGAAAAAGAAAAAAAACGGCAGCAGCATTGCTAATGAGAGAACGAAAGGAGAGGAGAGGAGAAGAGAGAAGGAGAAAAAAGTTTAACGTTCGAACGGCGGAAACATGGGTCATTCGTTGAATGTTCATTACTTGAAATGAATTGATATTTGTTTTTGCGTTTTATGAAAATATAGATTTTAGGTATGAAACTTCGTTCACATGAAATCCTTTCTGGGACTAAACATCCAACTCGCTCACCAAATCCATCACGATTCAAACAAATATTTCAAAAGAAAACTTTGTTCAAGAAAAAAATACAACAGCAACCACACCATCATCATCATGGACTTATTCATACAATTCCTGATTACGTTCGCAAAAGTGTCTTTCGATTTCTTCTCGAAGTCAAATCGCCTTCTCCGCCTCCATCGACACGAACCGTTCGTCAACAGCCGATGATGGGTATTCAAGCATTAAAGACAAAAGCTCAACCGAAATATTCACTTCGACTAAGGTGAGATGAATGATAATTGCCTTCCGGCATAATTGTGTTTTTTCAGACAACAACATCAACAACAGCCACCAATTGTTGATAAGAATAAACCGTTCGAAGATTATCAACAACAGAATAACTACGACATGACGATTCTACATCTGAATATCGATGACGATGACGATGATGATGATGATGATAGTTTGACATTTGCTACGAAAACAAGTACCAATCAAAAGAAACCCATACCACAATGGGCGAGAAGTAATCATATTGATGCAAATCGTTTCATTGCAACTAGTCTTCTCTTCGAATTTTAGAAAATGAGCTGCAGATTGCCATTTGTAATCAGTTGTATTTTCATCGAAATCCAAGTGAAATCTTCGGAGACTCTATGGATTGTTCTCCTGCACATTTGCGTACGATTCTCCACTCGATGTTACCAAAAGTGCAGCTGCTGGATGATAGTTTTCACGAAACTTTGAACAATAGTAACAAATCTCTATTCATCTGATTATGCGATGTTTTTTGTTTCAGTGTTTTCTTCTGATTGTTATGTAAATATATATATTGAAGAAGAAAAACCGAGATGGACTTTTTGATTTTATTCACACATTTCTATTTACCGGATTGTCGGCGGTATTGAGTGAACACGCCTTTGACACCATCACAGAAAGAGAAAAAACAATAACAACAAGACATTTTCCCAATGTGCCATCAGACAATAAGTTACAAATGAACTGAAGACAATATATAGATATCCATTAGATATGTAAACATCAATTGTGTGAAGAAAATGAAAAGGAAAAATTGCTCACTAATCATCAAGCCTTTTGGCAGAATTCGTATGGATCATTAAAGGTTGATCATTTCAGTATTGTTCAAGTTGATTGATCTATTGTGAAGGAAATGCAAAGTGAAACCGTTGTTTTTCTCACGAGGAAACTTAATGATCAGGAAAAATAGTCGAAATCTGAGAAATTCAACCATCGGTTACAAATCAATCATAATAAATTATTAAATAAACAGAAGATTAAACAGCAACTAAAGAGGAAGTTTATTAAGGCTTGCCGCTATGTCATCACCGTTGATATTGTCAAACATAGAGGCAAGTTCTAATCGAATTATTTGCCGTCTGAATATCTGAGAACATCAACAGATTGTCACTGATCAATAACAGTTGAATCTGCCGCACAATAATGCCATTGGAATCGTTCCGTCGGCAATGGCACATATCTTACCTATACACGTGTCAATTGGTTCTAATCAAATAAGTGACAGTGAGACAACAGTACATTCAAATAGCAAAATGACACATTTCACGCTGAACGAGTCAAGTATGTCCACTTCCGACTACAAAGGAATGTCCTGTTGATAAGCGCTAAGAAAAACAATCATCCCTATGCACATAAGGGAAAAACGACACATTTTAAATAAACACTAAGCCAACGTATGCAGACGAAAGATCGTGGCTGTGTCTTTGTGTCAGTCAAAGAATGCAAAAAATAGTTTCGTAATATTGATTTTGCCAGGTAGGAGAAGGAAAGCATGATTCATTAGGTGTAAAATTTTGAAAAAAAAGGTTTGGTCCCTATGAGGATCGAACTCATGACCTCCGCGTTATTAGCACGGCGCTCTAACCAGCTGAGCTAAGGGACCACATCAGTTTTCATCTCTAAATCTATACTAATTTTAATCAGATAAAATACAACAGAAGGAAAAATATGTTTGTGTACGTGTGACACCATTTATTGATTTGGCCAAAATTTTGCATGCACTATCTCCGCTTCATTTTCAAGAACAGGACCAACGACAGTGTACTGCGGTGCTGGTAACAATGGTTGGCATGGTAAAAGACCATCAAAGCCTGCATGTTTCTAAAAGAAACAATCACGTATTATATCTGTCGTCTATCGGCATATTTTGTTTTTATTTTGTAATTCAATCCGTTCTCCTTTTCTATTTCAGCTATTTCACTCGAACTACAGTTTACTTACACCTAACGTTTCATTTGAAAGTGCATAAACCATTTTTCGAATGCCGCTCCATCGAAGAGCACCCGTACACATTAAGCATGGCTCACAGCTCGTATACAACGTACATTGCTCAAGAACCTCTTCACTTAATTTTTGTGTTGCCATACTAATCAGATTAAGTTCTGCATGACGAGTAACATCATAGACAGGTGTAAAACATGTATTTTCGGCAGTTAGCAAAACTTCACCATCTTTTGAAACCAGACAGGCACCAAATGGATGATTTCCATGCTCGACAGCAGATTTCGAAAGCTCAATTGCTGTCCGTATGAATGGTACATGAATATCATGATTATCAATAGACGACATTGCGCTGTATAGGTTATATATCAAAAGCCTTGCCTTATCTACAGATCGCTATCCACATTTTATGTATCGAGAAAGGTATAATATAGCAATGGGGTCTCATAGATGACATGTTTTTAGGTAAGGTAAATTGCATTTCAACTCTCATGGATGGGTCTGAAGTAAAGAAACGCATGAGCAAATGTGGCTGTAAGCAGATGTCGCTGTCATCCTTGCCAAAGCTTATGATTCTAGTTGGAGAATATGAACCAATTGCTTATAAATACAGTTTCGTAGCAGCACAGCATAACCTGAATGTGAGTTTGACTTCGCGAGTACGAACAAGTGCTTCGTTCGATTGCTTGAGGGTTATCGAGTATGTATTTACGGCATGTGTTGTTCAACTTAAAATCAGTTGTTCATTTACGTCCTCAGGTAAAAATTTGTTTTCGTAGATTAGTAAGATGTTATTTTCTTGTGCATTTAGACAATTGATAAAGTTATTCATCGTTGTCTGACTCATGAAATTGGAAAGCACGAGAAAAAAGTTGATTTTGATAAGCTTCCAGTTGACAAAGCAGATGATAAATCAGAGAAAAGAGACGTGAAAGCTGTGATCGAAACAAAAGAAGCACGAAAAGAACGTGAAAAGGCTGAATGGGAGCGATTATCGATTATTGAGAAACTAGTGAAAAAATACTTTCCATCTCACATAAATTCAATCGCTATTTTTGTATGTCATTTGAATTCGTTGTTCCCCGAAGAATGTATATGTCTGCTAGGTTGTTTTCGGTGTTGGCTATGTCATTTATGAGCAAGTCAAAAATGATTTTGAGATCAAATATACGTTCCGACATGGCTCATGTCCAAATTTCAAAATTAAAGAAGATCAATTATTAGACCGAAGAGAATTGTGTAGTACGTTGGAATCTATTATGAGACCTGTCGAAGACAAACTCGTTTCATCTTATTACATCGTCATTGGTGACCATGGGGTTGGGTAAGTGATGACTGTAAAATGAAATAAACGAACTGTTCGTTTTCATTTTTAGAAAAACCACTTTGATTCGTCAAGCTGCACGAAAAATTGGCCGCGGTGTGATCTACGTTGATGGTTCTTGATTAGTTTACTTGTCATAAGGAGTTTCCTCTATCATTGTTTCTAGTTCCTTCGAATACGGAAAAGTTTGGCTTTGCTTTTGCCCGTGCAATACGATTTCATTTCAAAGAACATCTTCGTCTGTCAAATTGGATTGAATCGAAAATGTTCGGTTCACCACCAGATGACGGTAAGAAGTCTGATATCTCCATCAATGTCGTCTATTGGATTGCTTTAGGCAAGGAAGCCAGTTGGGAACGTGTTTTGATTTCATTTCAACAATACGCTCTTGATTTTAAAAAAAGATACGGCCACGTGCCCGTTTTAATCTTCGATAACTGTGATTCGTTGGCGAAAAAAGATCAGAAAATGTTGGAAATTTTGCAGGATACAGCTAAAACAGCCATTGATGATTCAACATGGGTCACTGTCTTTGTCGGATCAGTCGGCGAAACACCAGAACAAATGGAGGGTATGACACAGAATTGTTTCTTGATTAAATCCTCGTTTTCATTTGTTTTTAGGTCGAAGCAGCATCACTCGCGCTTCGTCGTTTATCGAAATTGGAGATTTAAATGAGAAAGAAGCCATGACGTATCTGACGGAAAAACGAAGTCTTTCAAAAGATATGGCAAAACAAATTTATGATTTGTACGGTGGGCGTTTCAAGAGTTTACAGAATGCCGCAACGAAAATCGAAAGTGGTATATCATTTGCCGGTATGTTCTCAATGAGAATTGCTTTGGATACGAAGTTGTAGTGTTTATGTTTATGCAGAGATTCGTTTGGCAACTTTGAATGATATTTTTCGTCGAATCGAGAAACTCCGCTGTCGTGCAACGAGTGAAGAACAAACATTCATTTTCAATATACTTTGTGGTTTATTACATCGATCTGAGTTGACCGTTGATGAATTGGTTCATATGCAAGGAAATGCTGAGATTCGACACAAGGTGCTCGAAGAACTTCGCAATGAAACAATTCTGACTCGAGCGGTGTCGAAGGGCGCTTATCGATTCCATGGCCAATCGACGAGGGTGTGCGTCGAAGAGTTTTACAAAGAAAAGCGGTGTTTTCACTGTAAATCAATCAAAGATATGAAATTCTAAAACATCTCATATTTGTTTCAAATGATTTTTTTGTACTATTTATATGCAATATTCGTTATTCTCAGTAGGTAAATCGTTAACGAGAATAAATCGATAATACTATTCAAGCAATAGCAGATAACTTGATTTTTCTTCATCTTCAATACTATTTTCGAAAGGGAGATTTGTGTTGTTTCACAGTGAATGGTCATGCGTGTCATTTCACTAATCAAATGTTTACCTACATCTATTCTTTGAAAAAATTCGAAGTCGGATCGACGACGATGTGTGATTCGTCTGTTTTCGTCATCCGTCCACTAAGTGGTGAATTTACTAGACAAAGAGAAAGAAATGGTCGACGGCCGAACTGGGCGAAAGATAAAGAAAACATTGTAAATAAACACACACGCATATCGATAATCGACCTAGTGTGAACGCAGACAAAAATTAAGTAAGTTTTAAGAAGTTTCCAGGCAAAAGAATTCGAAATTTGGTTTTGAAGAATGTTGTCAACAGAATCTCAAGCTCAAAGTCAACAACAAGTAAATAGTTATGACGAACGTGTCTTTAATGAACGTATTCGTCAGTTATTCAATCCGATCGAATCATCGCTATCGTCTAATGACGACATTGGACAAATGACTTCAATTGTTGATGCACTTTTTCCGGAACAGGCGTCTCTTTATCAACAACAGAAACAACGTGACCAACGCCATGCGTCAACCAACGATCTAACCTCTACTTTCGATCGATTTCCATTGTGGAGCACCAACACAAATACAGCCAGCACTAACAATTCAGCATCGGCTTTTTGCGGTGGCACAACAAATGGTTCATCAGCATTTGCTAATCGTCGTCAAGGCAAATTACACAGTTCAACACGTTCATTACGAAATGCAAATTTTCATCATCAGCCACAGCCATCGCATCAACAACAACAACATCATTATCGACCACCACCACTTACTCGACCCCGTTTTACTTCATCAACAATACGTCTATCCTCAGCAGCGGCAACGTAATATCAATGCACTCTGGCAATTCTTCAGTGACGATTGTTCTACTTTTCTCTTCTAGAACTATTCCAAATGGTACTAGCAGCAACACTAATGGTCTTCAACGGTCATCATCGTCACTTTCCACGAACGCTGCTACCAATGGCTCAGCTGAATATCAACCTCGTTTTGCTAGTCGTCTTTCTAGTACTCGTTTACCCACAGCTGCACCACCGGTTGGATCACATGATCAAATTGCAGGCAATACAACATCAATCGATTCAATTGCTCCACCATCGACAGTTGGTGTTATGAGTCAACCATCATCAACTTCTGCTGTACTTGCGCGCAGTACTTCTTCAACCAATGGTCAACCACAGCAATTTGTTACGATGACACAAACGACAACAACTACCTTCTGTTATGTACCAGCATCTGGTTCACTTGCTTACAATACCTTACCGGGTGCAAATCGCAGTGCAGCTGTTCCTCATCATTAATAGTTAAAAATCAAAAAATGAGTTTTTCTTTCGTTCGGTAGAAAACTATGTCAAACATGTCGTAGCTTGTCTAAAACACATGTTTCATTATTTATTTATTTATTTATACATATGTGTGTATCTCCTTTAAGACGAACTTGTGAACGTATGCAGTTTTTCTTCGTTATGTTTCTTTTCTTCATTTGGATTTTGGATTAATCGATCGTGAGTGTTTTTTCTGTTGTATTTGTCGAGCAATGTCATGCACAGAAATATTTATTTATTTATTTATTTATTTATTTATTTATTACCTCTCCTTCTTCTTTGTATGCGCCAATTGCTCCTTGTTCTCCTGTCTTCCTTTCCTTCTTTCTTCTTACAGGTAAATGCTTGTCTTTGCAACGAAAACAAAGATTAAAATTGTGTTCAATAAAAGGTTTATGACAATACAAATAGTATCTATCTTAATCTATTTGAAAGTCGTCCCATGATGAAGGACGAACTAGTCGCTACAATTTACGTAGCAAGTCAACATGTTCTTTGGTAGAGATCATTCTTTGAACACCACCCTCCTCTATGAACTTCTATTACTATATGCCTGACGATTCCGAAATGGTTGTGTCATAAACATTTCTCGTTTTGGAATCATTGGTTAAACTTGAGAGGAAAGATCTAGTTATTAAATTTATTCATTTCTTCATAATCGTTCCAACATACTCTATAGAAAAACAACAAACAAAAAGGGTAGAAGAAGTTGGAATCTTGTGTAAATACATGTATATCTGTAGAAAACAGAGCGAGCAAGAACGCACATTTCAATATGTTTCTTTTCAAAGAGAAAAAAAAAGAAAGGCCAAAGTTAACAAAGAAAACACATACTTTTGGAATTAATTCTTTATCGAGACAATTCACTTAAGACACACATAGACAACCACAGAGAGTGAGTATTACATAGAAATATCGAAGAAGAAAAAGAAAACAAAAGAATAAACAATTTTTTTGTCGAAGAAGAAACTCAATGATGTAGATAGACTTCGTGAGTAAAAATAATGAGATTCCAATCAAAGTAAATTATTGAACAAATAAATAAACACACAATGAAGAAAGCGCATGATGACTATGATTAAACTCACAAATGAACCAATATTATCGATGATGTTCCATACTCATATTTTCTTCATCAAAATCATCTAATGTTAAATCAAGTATTTCGCCGTCGTCATCATCGTCGTGATCCATAAATGTTGATGGAGCGTGATGAATTAAGCTTCTAAACCGACATTCATAATCCTCATTGCCTTTTTTCGATTTTAAGTAGCGCCGAAGAACACTTGATGTTGTTCGATCCTGATATGTTTTACTATATAAATCATCAATCGCTGCAACACATTCGGCTAAATCGCGTTGTGTGTACGATGTGGTCTGAATATGACAATTGCTCCATACTGCATCTTTATTCAAGATACGATTAGCGTAGAACAAACAAGCAGCTGCTGTCAATGATGAACGATACGATGAAAACGGACGATCTTGTAAAAGTACTAATGTACACAAATAATTGGTTAACAGACTTAAGCATTTATATTCATTATCATGCTCGTTCATGGATGTGCTCGGTTTGAGACACGTTAAATAATATTGCATAAATGTATAATAAGTCGGACCCGAAATCGAAAAATTGAGCATCTAAATAGAATATGAGACGAGTGAACTTGAAAGATTAATAAAGTACCTTCATAAGAATTTGTTCCATACGAAGTATATGTTTTGTTTCATAGGTGTTGTCCGTAATGAACGAAAATTCTTCCAGTGCTGGTGGATACATTTCTTCATATTTGGAGGCAACATACATACATGTTGTACCTACGAAGGAAATCTTCAAGCTAATGAAATTTCATTAGGAAAATGTTTACCAAGTAGTTGTAATTTCGATCGAGTGACATTCACCGTCGATAGAAATCGATCAATATATTGAATACAAAGGAAAAGTGTTTCATCATTTAATTTGTATTCGTCTGCTACTTCAATGAGCCAGTCAACAAGGATAGTACGCATTGCGCAATTAATGTCCGACTGATGTTCCATAAAATTCATTTCTACAATGACATTTCCCAGCTTCACAAGTTATGTTCAAGCGGATGAATAACTTACTCGGGGCATAAACGTGTTCGACAGCTTTCAGATGCTCGAAAATTGATTGACGATAATCAGGTCTAAATAAAAAGAACTATTGATGAATATTGTTATCCACTACTTGACTTACAATTCGAATAGTTCTTGTTCAAGCTGTTCGCGAGTCTTATTCTCTTGACACACTGGTTGCTTTTGAATCGGAACAACATTCGCTTTGTTGATAGTTGTAACCAATGGTGAAATGAGCATTTGATTTTCATCATGGTTTTCTTTCAGAAGCTTTTTTATTGAACGTGTTGCAGTTAGAATAGGCCGTGAACCAGCTGAAATACAGTTTTCTTGTTGTTGATAAGCTGCACTTGTACATAGTTTCGTTTTGTTCGAAACAAAGTTTTTATCTGATGAAACATTCGTTAGCGGGAGTCGATTATGTGTCGCACGCAGTACATGTCGATTCGAATTCATAATCTTCAATGAAAAATGTGATTATTCAAACAAAACAATGTTTCCTTCATTTATCTTACTCGAATCTTAGACGAACTGCGTTTGTACAAACAACGGTAACTAGTCGACAACGAAAAAAGATGGAATATGAAGAAAAAAACAAAGGATGAACGTCTCTTCTCTTCTCTTTCGCTCGGCTGATGCCTATGTATACGTGCGAACGCGTGCTCTTTGTTTGAAGGCGCTTGTTTTCTCTTTCGTCCAATACACGTTCATATTTCGTTAGAGTGCGCTAGTGTAAACGAATTGGCATCGAACATATAAGTTCTTACATTTAGAATGGAAAGTTAATACTTATTTAGTTAAAAATTCATTCATCTAAATCAAATCGCTTAACTACTTCTGAGCCATCATGTGTACGCTATTATTTGGTCATTTCTACTAAAAAAAGTAAATGAAACAATTGATTTAGGAAAGTTTTATTGTAAGTTATGTTTTAATAGGCTGAGAAGTGAAGAACCTGATACTTTATAATAGTCAGGTATTAAAATAAATGAATAGATATCTATATTTTTTGTCAAAAAAAGTTTTTTTTGAGCCGCCGCCGCCGCTGATGGACTACACGGCTTATACACCTCTATTTGTCAGATATGCGTCAAGTCAACTATACACATATGTGCGAAAAGATAATTCAACTCAAAAAAGTGGCAAAATTCGATTCGATTTGTTTGAATACAAGCTGTTCTATTGAAAAGACGAAAACAGCAGTTCACCATAGCACGTCATCTCTCTTCGTAGGATTGTCATAAAAGAACACGACTGACATTTCTAACTAACTAAATCAACATTTACCTTCATAAATATCTGACATTGCCTCGTTATATATACATATATTTAACGAACTTCCTGATTAATTGGTTGCGAATAGAAACTACAGAGTATATCTAATAATTTTCTTCATAGTTTATTACGTCTTTATTTCAAGCGTTAAGAATGAGTCTTTCTGGTCGAAAATACACACGACTAAAATATCTTGTGTTTACTCAACCTGCTTTATAAAAAGTCCCTCATAATGTAGTCGACAAAGAAAAATTGCCGTCCTCGACAGGCGAGTTCGTCTAACAGAAAATTGTTAATTTAAAGATCGTGGTGTTTTATCTTCTAACGACAATACAATGAAGGTAATTATCAACGATTAAAATAAACACGGTGCATTAAAGACCCAGTCTGATTATTAGTCGAATTAATTATAGAATCTGCTGTTTGAGTAGTGGTGAAAAATCGTTATACCTACATTGTATAATTTGAAAACGTTGAGAAGTTTAGTAGAAGTTTACAACTATTTTATAAAAGATTATCTTTGCAAACATATTTGCCTACGATTAAAACCAAAAGCTTATGATATCAAGCGTAATATTCGTTCCAAACTAATGAAGTGAATCACTTCAATGTCGCTTAGTGTATGTTCAAGACTCTCTCATAAGTGGTTATGAAGTATTATTCAACCAGAAATTGAAGCAAATGCCTATTATTACACATTGCTTAATATTGATGAGTTAGGATTTGTGTGTTCTTAAGATATATATTATTTTACATGGTAAACAAACAACGGCAAAAAAGGGACACGTTAACCTAATCCAGATGCTTTCAAATTTTCATCAATTAGAATATTATTGGCGACGCCATAGACATAAACTAGTTGTCCTTGAAATTGTTGTCGGTCAATTGCTTTACAAATTCCACCTCGACGATAATCAAGACCACGGGAACATTTCACGAAATTCTGCCAGATGACTTCGTCGAATACAGCATCACCTTCGGTATTTAATGCCACGTCGATAGATAAATTTATTTTATCTTCATCGTCTTCAATAACTTGTGATAGAACAGGATCGCAATCACGAGACTTCTTCTGTGAATTTCGACGACTGTGACTGGTCTTATTTTGGCGAACAAGCGCATCGTATCCTCCATCAGGCAGAAGTGCTTTCGTAAGAACACTTCGTGTGTTTTTCGTAAGTTCATACCATTCCTGTGAGTCTTCTTCATGGAGTAATTCATGAGTGGACCTCGCCCGATAACGTCGATCGTGTTTCAAACGTTGTTTCATACGTGCAAACAATTTGACTAGAGAGAATGATCTCTCATCATAATCATCGTCATCGCGATTGTTATAATAGATATTTGGTGGAACACGACTGTGCTCTGAATGATGATGAAGATGATGAGGATTAGTAAAATCATTCAATGACGCTCGAGGACGAAGATGATGTAGTGAACGTTCGAATTCACCGTGATGATCATCGATCGCCAAAGACATTTGTCGACCGAGAACATTTGGCAGATTTTGTTGGTGAATCTGCTGTTGCTGAATTGTTGCCAAAGCACTCGTCGTTGGTGAGTGTCGCAAAACTCCACAACGTTGTGTAAGATAGAGATAGTTTTCAATTAAATCACCTTCGGTTTCGTCGATTTCTTCGTCATATTCATTGGTTTCATTCGGTTGATTATCATCGTCATCGCTATCATAAAGATGATTTCCTAAGTTAGTCGACGTCTGCACAGCCATTCTGTAAGTAATGATTGTGAAGCTGAGTTTAGACAAATATTTTCTTTGCTGTTGCTTCAATTTGGTGTATGTCGTATTGTTACCAATATATATATATTATGACAGCGTCATTCGAGCATAGGTAAGAGCGCAACTTCTTATAATATTTTCAAAAGCGACAAGGACGTGGTAGTATAATGAAGAAATCATAGCGATGAGAGGAGAGGAGAGAGAGAGAGAGACACGTGAGAAATATACGACATGGTTTATACCTCGTTTTAAATTTACAATTGGAACAGAGCAAGCATCTTCTTAGCACGTTTTTTCTTTGTCTATCATTTCTTCTTTTTCTTTCTCTTTGACACTTCCTGCTCATAATTGTAATGCATTGAAATTAACAATAACGAAGGGAAAGGAAAAGAGAAGTTTGAGCGGGCTCATCTGATTATGATAATAGAAGAACACTCTGCATGAATTTGCTAAATATAGGATTATTTTTTCGCCACTGATAATCAGTATCAGTTTGTTTGTCGAAGGGAAAAAACACGTAGTGTTTCTCGGGGTTTTCTATCTTTCAACACTCATCGGATTGTATGTTTGATTGAGCGGAATGTGAAATATCAAGATTTGAATATGAACACTTCGCGCATTTCATTTATTTTCTACTGTCACGACTTATTTATGGGAATTTTTCATGAAGATGACGTTTTTTCATCTGTGAGATATAGTGCAGAAATAATTTACAGGATCAAAAAAGAACTGAAGAGATAAAAACGACGTTGTATGTATCAAGTCCTACACAATTGGTTATTAGAAAACGACAGATATTCTTTTTTTTTCTAACATTGTTCTATAAACGATGTAATACATTGACCTTTTCAGTCGTGTTCTATTTGCTTTTGGTTTTTATTGGAGAACAAATGAGTAATCATGGAGATTCAGTTTCAATTAAAACGGATATTCATGAACCACATCAGTGATGTATCAAATGACTAATCAGACACATAGAAGGATAACAGAGATTAAATCGGATCTCGAGTATTCAGTGTTTCTTTCATGATTTAAGTCGTAAATCAATTAAGACAAACCGAATGATGACGATTCTCACCATGATCTTTGCAGTTTCAAACAAAATAATTGTCTTTACAATGATAATTTCTATTGAAACTACGGTTTCAAGGAAAGCTACAAGTCAGTTATACTGTGAGAGCAAATAAAAACTGAAATCTATGATAAAAGCGGTCAATGTTCATGCAAGTAATCCTTCTTTGACTTTTGTTGATTCGTCTTTGCCTTTGAGTAATTCAATTAATTTCAATGCAAAAGCCATAGTTGTCGCCGGTCCTTGAGATGTAACAATATGATACTCTCTTCCTTCAGCATCTACAAGACGATAAACATTTTGTTTTTCTAAGGTGTCTAACTCAAGTATTGAATTCAAACCTGCTGCTGTTTGCTTACTATGGCAAACAACTTGATCAGGAGCTTCGAGTTTGTACGGTTCACCATCAATAAATTCTTTACGAACACTTGGATAACATGTTATTGTATGTTTATGGTTGACTCCGATCTTATGAGCTAGTAATGCTCGTGGTCCAGCGCAAATAGCAGCAACAATTTTTCCATCCTCATAATGTTTCGTCAGAATTTGACCAACTTCAGTGTTGGCAGCCATTGCCTTTGATCCTAGATAAGTTCAAACAAATGTTTACTAACCTACTCGGAACTCTTTCACAATTAACAACATCTGTTCTTCAAGAGCGAAGACCTATAGAAGTTACCACTGTCTATAGGCCATTAAAGATCTCTACTCACCGTCATTTCCACCAGGGATTACGACACAATCGTATTGGTTAGTCTTTACATCATCAAGCACCTTGTCTGGCAAGACGCGAACGTTTCGACTGCATTTCAAGGCATCTTGTCCATTTTTTTCAATGGAAACAACATCAACATCGATCTCGGCACGTCGAAGAACTAGAAAACAAGTACAAGATTTTCTGTGAAATTGTCTCTATTCCAACTGACCATCGACAGTGGTGACCGTCTCAATTTCTTCACTTCCATTAGCAATGAAGACTAACGCCTTTTTTGTCATCTAGAACGCATGAATAATATACATTGCTGGAATATTATAAACTAGCATGTTAAACAATAAAAAGAAAGGAGAATGTTGGGAATTCTTTGTTTTCTCTTTCAGAGAAGCATTTCTTCACGAATTTTCTTCACTTTCGATGATCCATCGAGAATTTCGACAATTTTCAACGCAAATGCGAATGCTGTTCCGGGTCCTTGACTAGTTATCATATGCCGTTCACCATCGGCTGTTTTCAATTCACAATGATGCACCGGTTGATCAACAATCTTGGAAAACAAAGAACTTGATTTAAAAAGAAGCATTTCTTTGAACTACTCATTTACATTATAGTCTGTTTTCAGATCGTTTTGACATTCAGGATAAGCAGTAATCGTAGCATTTTTTAGACCGATTTTATGTGATTGAAATACTATTGGACCTGGAGAAGAGGACGAAATGTGAACAAGAAAGAATCTATTTTGACTTTACCAGCACAGATGGCAGCAACAAGCTTTCCCTTTTCGTAATGTTGCTGAAGAAGATTTCCAACAGCTAGATTTTTTGCCATGGCTTCTGAGCCCTTCTCACCACCGGGAACAACAACTACATCATATGTATCATCCGTTGACAATTCATTAATAGATATATCTGGAACGATGACAGTATGTTGAGCACATTTCAATGCTTCACGATTCGCTTCAATGGATGTAATAGTTACTTTGATGCCAGCACGACGAAGAACCTGACAAACATGAAGAAATATACTTGGCAAACATGTATTTCAATATCGTTTACATCAACCGTAATGACAACTTCACTTTCTTCACTGCCATTGGCTAATAATAGTAAAGCTTTTTTAGAACCAAACATAGTTACTTTAATATTGCAGCAGGTTCAACCGACCGATAATAAAAGACTATACCAGTCGGCCAGTTGAGAAAGCAACAAGACAGAAAAACGATGACTCATCCTATCAACCAATCGCGAGCAAGCACCTCGCGCCCCTCCAAAAAACGTCCGATGACTTTCAAAACTTCATAATCACATCCGTTACTGTATAGGTATATGTACATCTTCGTTTAATATCACACATCGTATACATGTGAGAATCAAGTCAATCCAAATTGAAATATAGAATTTAATTTCTTACGTAAGATAAATAGTATCATGTAATGTATTTACATGTACCGTATAAACCGAAGAATGTGAAAAGATCTTATCTTTGTCAAGTGAATATCTCAGTAGAAACATCACTCGTATTGTATGAATAATTTGACATAGTGCGCAAACAATCATGTCATAATTTACTTCGAGCTTTGTACTCTTTCTTTCTTTCCTTTCTTATCCGTCTTAAATTTTTAACTGCTTGACATGTTTTTACTTATAACGAGCAGAAAGTAGAATTTCACTTCAATATTTATTTTTTTAATTTTACTAACAACACAAAAAAAGAATAAAACAGCTGGAATAAAAAAAAGAAATCATCTTGCACAGACAAACGGAAATAGCATAAATGTATTTCTATCTGAGAATAATATATTTATATGTATGTATAATGCAGACTGATTGATATAGTTGACACTTTAGATAGCTTCTTTGTGTGCGGCAGCTTGAGCTTTGTGAGATTTCTCTTCAATCTTGTCTCCAACAGCTGAAATACCAGCGCCGATACGTTCGCCAATGGTGTTATCCGAATTTTTGGCTTGTTCTTTGTGTCCTTCGTACGATGCAGCACTTGTTGCTTCTAGAATTTGCAAATGAATTCGGTAAATAATCGATCGATGAATCCATAGGTTTCAATTTACATACCATGAACTTTCTCAGCAACATAGTTGTACGCATTAGAGATGGTATCACCAATTTGACCGATCACACCTCGTTCTTCGGCAGCTTCTTTGTGAGCTTCTTTCTTAGCTTCATGACCTTTTTCTTCGACTAAAAATACATCATATCCAATGAAATTTCACGTCTAATAAGTAACACAATGAAGTCCTACCTTTGTCTTTAACAGCATCAATACCATGACCGATGCGGCTACCGGCTGAGAGGTTGTCATTTTTAGCAGCTTCTTTGTTTGCTTCGTATGAAGCACCACTTGATACTTCTAGAAACAAAATATAACAATTTATTTACCATTCGTCCATATGTTAACGTTCTAACTACCTTTGACTTTTTCTGATACGGCGTTGGCGGCGTCTTTAACGTTTTGCATTGTTTCTTTTTGTTTTAGAACGGTAATAAGAACGAATCACGATAGTTTGTTACTTGCTAGAATGAAATGTTCACGAAGATTTATTGCCTTATTTATAGGCACTCTTCCTCGCTCTTTTTTTCTCGTAGACACAAAAAAAGCAGAGAAGAAGAGAACGAACTGGAAGAGAAGAAATAGAACTACGAGTCAGTAAAGAAGCGAGATGCATGTAGTGCATTGGGTATATTCGAGAAGAAAAAGAAGAAATTAAAACGTGGCGCATACACGCGGAGCAACATTGGATGCGGCTGCTTGCTAACGTGGAAGTAACAGAACGGATCGAGAACGAGAGATGAACGAGTAGACAATACTTGCTTACATGCTACTGGTTAGAATTGTTTGAGTGTAGATAGACGTTTCTCTCTGTCAAGACGTACACGTGGACGTCGAGAGTGATCGAAGCAATTTACATGCCTATACCGATGAATACATCCAGTACATTCGAATCATCCGACATGTGTTGATCTCAATAGGCGATATTTTAACCAATAAAGAAAATACACGATTTAGATTGATAAAACAAAGCTGAGAATCATGATATTGAAAATGAATAATTCTTGAATAGTGTATATGTGAAACGGTTGGCAGATATTTGATTTCATAGCCTTCTTATTCATAAGCAAAGTGGCATATCTGTTATTATCAATCCGCTTCTTAATAGTGCTTCGTTTCTTCTTTCTTAGATGAAATATTTTCTAAAGTCTGCATTAATACCATTTAATATGGAAATGGATCATACGATAGGCGGGCGGTGATATTTTGACAAAATTAAAATTAAAAAAGAATCATCTCTCTTCAAAAGTACTTCGCCTAAGCTCGATCAGCCGGTTTCAATCATTTGAATATCAGCATTATAAATAGATCGTTTCGGAGTAACAAACTATGTATTCATCAAAAACTAACTACGACCATGCAAATCATTCGTATTCTTTTATCAGTGGCAATTGCTTTTCTGGCTTTTGTTTCTATAACTGAAGGTAAACTTCATACATCAGAAAAACAGCTTTCATATATGTGAATTGTAGCTATCTCATGCAGCAATCCTGGTCAATATGGTGGCAAATCACTCTGTGATCATGCTGGTAAATGATATATTGTTTCTTGTGAACTATAGATTGTTTTGTTTGTAATATCAGGTGGCTATTGTGGTGAATGTGTGAGTTTCGTAAAGTAAGTTTTATGCCTGAATTTTCGTTATACTACTGCAGATTAATATAGGATCTGTACAGGTGATCGACGCTCAACAGGCCAATGGGTACGCGGTGTAAAGGTAAACGACAATAATCATTTATTTTTCATTGCTCGAACAGCATTCGTTTACAGGTTCGTGGTGCCGGTATTCCTTACGGTACAGCTATTGCTACATTCCCTAATGGCAAATATTACGGCCATGCTGCTATCTATACTGGACAAAATGCTGATGGTATTCAAGTTTGGGATCAGGTAAAGAGATGACGAAGGTATATTTCACTTCATGGTCACAAATTGACAACTGTTCTAGTGGGTTGGTCATGCAGTTTCAACACGTACAATTCGTTGGAATGGTAGTGGTACTTCTAACAATGGTGATAGTTTTTATGTCATTAATTAAAATGAGACGGAAAGGAGCGTTTGCTATTTGAAATAAAATAAACAAATATCTTTTAAAAAGAAGAAGTTCTTATCAATAGAATCCGATCAATATGAGCTAAAGCGACATCTGTTCACGTATAATTCAACATATGATTTCTTTTTATTGTAAAAAACAAATATTAACATCAGTAGACAACTATGATCGACTAATTTACGCAGAATTTTCCGATAAAATCATGTTATTGAACTTGGAGGACGTAAGCTTGACAACATGGCATCAAATCTCAATCGTGCCTGCTTAAAAAAGCATAGCGAATTCTCTTTTCGATCAACCTCTCCATAATCTTACATTCCAATCTCAATGGTAACCACAGAGCTTGATGATTCGTAGAACTCATTAACTCTTTTTTCTTATTCGAATAGGCCACAGCGACGAATCAAATCAAACGACCAACACTTGGCGGTGGTGCCAAGAAACGACCGACTGGTAATCGACCCGAATTAACCGAAGAGCAAAAAACAGAAATACGTGAAGCATTTGATTTGTTCGATGCTGATGGTTCAGGAACGATTGACGTTAAAGAACTTAAAGTTAGCTAAACGCACTCTATTTTGCTGTTCACTTTCTAATCTTTCATCTGTATTTTAGGTCGCCATGCGAGCATTAGGTTTCGAACCGAAAAGAGAAGAAATCAAAAAGATGATATCTGATATCCAAAAAGAGAATGCTGGTCAGTCGGGATTAGTTTTGAACAAGCATGTCTAATACTTTATATTTAGGTACAATCGACTTTAATGATTTTCTTCAATTAATGGCGCAAAAAATGGCTGAAAAGGATTCCAAAGAAGAAATACTCAAAGCATTTCGGTAAATCTACACGAGCCGTCTTTTATTATGCGCTTTTTACTATGTCTTTATAGACTTTTCGATGATGATAATACAGGAAAGATCTCATTCAAAAATTTAAAACGGGTCGCCAAAGAACTAGGAGAAAACTTAACCGACGAAGAATTACAAGTGAGAAAATTATTTTGGTCGAAAACTTTGATTTAACTCGTCATCTGTCATTTAGGAAATGATAAACGAAGCCGACCGGGATGGCGATGATGAAATCAACGAACAGGAATTCTTACGAATCATGAAAAAAACCTCCCTCTATTGACAACATTCGTTTTGTATCGTTCCGTTTTGTTCGTTTCGTCAACATATAACATTTTTCTGTCAGGTACTCATTTTATTGTGTCACGAAAATAATAATAATTCAATTCTTCCATGTCTCATTTTCATTTACTGTTTATGTCAGTATCTTATACCCTCCGGACATAGTCATTAATGCGGAACGTCAAATTTTCAGTCGATGTGAGCACATATAATTTTATGTTTTTCTTTATCATCTCTCATATCGTCCGTAAGGGTTCGTTGAAGTGTATATTAGTACAGGTAAAAACGAAAGTGAGGAGAAAACAGTGATTTGACGAAAACAGTTTTAAACGATGGGTGGAATATTGCATCGCTCAGCAGCCCGACGAGATGATGAAAAGATAAAGAAAAAAGATAGACGAAAACGGCAACGAGAAGAAAATCCAGACTTAGATATTGGTTTTAACCAGAATAATTTCCCGATCACAAATATCGATGAGAATCAAGATCCTAATCTCGAGTTTGTGAAATCGTACGACCTATGGAACAGTGACTACGATAACAAATTCACAATGAATATCAATGGTAAGGATAACGTATTAAAGAATGCAGTACAATGTAGATTTTTCTGTCATAAGATCCACCTGGTGCACCACGTAGTTATTCTCCAAGTCAGAATGAGATGATGTTTCAACAGTGGTCACCGTCTGTCGACATGAATAATCCATTCTATCCAGGCAGCATGTTTCCATCAGTTCCGCCATTCAATATTGCTTATGATCCCAATCATCAACTTCAACCTCAGATATCGACCACACTAGGTGACAATTCTCCGAAAGTTAAAGCCGGAGAACGATCACCAAAACGAGTGCATTTCGCTCCTACGCCCTCATCTCAACTTGCCGAGCCCATCCCTATGAAACCCTTGACAAATACACAATCCTGGCATGAGCCACGTTCTATGACTTCTGCTCCATCACGCGGTGCACCGCAAATAAAACCTGAACGATTATCAAATCGATCATCTGTACCCCGATCATCAACGAATTCGCACAAACCAGCTCCAGCACAAACACCTGTACAAAAACCTATCTACGTCGGAATCGATCATCAAGCGACATTGATCGAACGAAGTAAACGCCTCGTTAACAAACGTCAACGCCCTAATTTAGACGAAAATTCTCCTGAGAAATTAACCGTACCGAACAATCATCAACCATCACGTTCTCATCCACATAAACATCGCAAACCAACTGATTCTCCACGCTCTGATCATGAAACAATGCTTAACAAGTACTTCGAAACTTTACAACCGAAAGTATCTCTCATTCAACGTCAAACGGCACAATCTACGTCGGTAAATAAGTTCGCACCGAACATCGATCAGATAACGTCTCGTCCCAACGATATCAAATTAACAAAATCTAGAAGTGTTCGTCGACAACAATCAGCAATTAATACAGAAATAAAACCGGTGAAAAGTCAGGAAAATCATCGTCAACGTCCTCCAAGTGGCTCACCTCTTGTCACGCATAGTGACTCATCGAAACGTCGTATTGAACATTCACATTCAAGCACAGCGGTGATGCGAGTTTCTCTGTCGAAAAACGGTCAACAACCAAGTTTTACTCGCGTACGAATGTAAATCTCCTTGTAAATACGAACAATTCTTTTAAATCGAACTTCACATTCATTTTCTACATGTTTCATTAAATTAAAATCGATGATAGACGATTTCATCAAATTGTCAATTAGTAATGTTACATGATATTTTCTAGCGTTCTGCTTCAATGTTTCCCGATGACATACATGAAAGAAAAAAAACATATACGATGATATGTAACGCTTCAATTTAAACGAAGATGTTTGCGATATACTCATTAGAAAATCAGGTGTCTCCTAATGAATCAAAATTAGGGTCATAATTAGACAAATACACGGAATTTCGTTGTGTACTAGACTTTTTTTTATGTCAATAAACAAGCGCAGAAATTTTAAGGAAAAACGTGTCGTTTTCCGGAGCACCGATTGAGTTTGTTTCGTTGCAACGAAAATTTAATGGAACTCAATTTCTTCGATGTACCAAACGAAGGTTCAGCGAGAGCAACAATGTATCTCAACGGCTATTTTTAGCGAACACTTCGACTCGATCAATAAACATTAATATCTGACATGTAAAAGGAAACAAACATTAAGATCAATTAGATTTCACATTTGCACCGCCCCAAATATCTTTCGTATCGAACGAAAACGGTAAAACGAAAAGCTTCAGTCTAATGAGTGTTAATGTAATGAAATTTATTGAAAATTTCCATCGTCGAATGAAAGCTTTTTTACATACTTCCAATCAAAAAACAAGGTTATATTTTGTTTCACAAAACATTCACACATGCATAAGAAACCAAAAGCTAAACCTAAGGTAAGAAAACAATGTTTGGTATTTATACAAGTAAAAAACACACATCCACACGCAAGTTTTCTCAATTGCACCAACACTTTTCGCGATGAAATAAAAACAACAGGCTTAGCTACTATCGGCTGATTCTTGTTCACTATGTCCATATTTGGCTAAACGTATAGCTTTAAGACGATTACGTGCTTCATCTAATTCTCGTTCTTTGGTTAAGATTGCTTCTTTACATTTGATTTCTTGCGCAATACCCGGAACAAAACGTGTCGAAACTTCAAAATGCTTCTCTTCTTGTTGCATATCAACAGCTTGTTGAGCAGCTCGAACAAGTGTATCTGCTGCACGCTTAACCGCATTGCCAGCAGCTTGTAAACGTGCCATGGATTGACTCATAAAGTCAGCTTTGACCTTACAAGCGACAAGTAACGCAGCAGTATTTGAACTGACTTGTTTTGCACTAGAAATCAGTTTCTCCTCGGTACCACAGCCTTGCACAAGTCCATTTGCTGCATCGCATAAAACATGACAGGCTGACGCGACATAACGTGCCTGAATAGAAGTAAAGTAATGAAAATGAGATAGAGTCGAATCGGCGAAGATAATCGTCCACTTACAGCTGATATTAATCCTTGAGACCATTGGCCATCTTCGTCGGAACTTGATTTAGATGAAAGCTACATAAAAGAGATTGTATTCGAAATGTAACAATAAAGCAACAAGAACATATGTTTATCACGCATGCATATGCATATGGGCCTAAATAATCCAGGTAAGTAGAAGCGAAGAAAGCGATCAGCTAGAGGGAAATATATATATAAATATGAAGCTTATATCATAGCTGAAAGTAAATTTTACCACTTTATGTTTTAATCGTCAAAGTCTGTTGTATTATTCTAACAAAATAACATTAAAATCATTATGCGACAGTTTAGAACAGTTTTGCAAAATCAAAGATTCGCTCAGAAGTAAAAGAAGAACTCGACAGTTTGCACTCGAGAAGAATCCCTCTCAATAACTTTTCCCCAAATGATACCTGCAGAAGAAACAGATCTGTGCTTTGCTGAAAACATAGTTTATGGCTATTACCATTGTAGCTAACTGCTGTTCATTTGATTTTGATTTATACGCCTACTTTTATGGACTAATGAGACTGTCTAAACTTACTTTGCCCTGTGCAACAAGATCTTTTTGAGCTGATGTTGCTGCTGTTATCAATGCACTTGCTGCGTTCATTATTGATTTGGCTGCATCCAGGATTTGTTCATCGAAATTTAAATTTTCATTGATTTCCTAGATGCATACAAAACGCTTGTATCGATATGACATATTTATCAATAACTTAGATAAAAAGTTGCAAACATCTAAGATCATTCGTTGTTTGCAATACGATAGATGGATAAGATACATCCTATGGATAATTCAATAAACACATCGTAGTCGATAAATTGTGCAGATATGTACAGTATTCAGTTGAATTAAAGATCAAACAACCAAATATCAAACATATCATGACAACATATCTTTGTTTAGTGCGGCTAAAAGGGTTCTTTGAATGGAATTCATAATCACTTTGATTTTTCGACGAGGCTTCAAATGTGACAGTTTCATTGCAGCGGATTCAATTGATTGAGCAGCATTGAATAGTTCATTTTCTGCAATGTAAGTTGGATCATCTGGATCAATAAAATCCGTACCTGTGCACAGAGATGATCTTCGTTTTTTTCATAATTAAAATCCAATTTTCATCGACTTACCTTTCAACTGCGCAGCACACTGAACAAGTTCATGTGTTGACTGTGCTATAAGTCGTGAATACTGAAGTAACTTTTGTTTGATTTCATTCGATGGTTTTTGAATTAACGCATGAATCGCTTCTAACAATTCCTTGTATGTTTGTACACACGCTCGTCCGTTATCCATTGTGCGCTGCTGTAGATTTCGATCATCAGTTGCATATGCAATGGATTTGCAAACAGCTAAAAGGTCAGATATTGATTTACGACCGAGATTAGCAGCAACGATGATATCCTCCTGTTGGCATGATTGGCCAGCTGATACCGCTTTTGACGTTGCTATTGTAAACTAAAATTCCAGTAGATTAATTCAGAGCAAGTCATCATAGATAATGATTTACTTGTTTGGTCGCACGAACCAACTCTTCGGGTGTGGTATAGTTTCCCGTTCGTTGTCCATTACTATATGTTTGAAGTTCTTGTGCAATTGATTGAATAGTGCTTTCTAGTGCATTCGTTCCGCGTTGTGTTTTATCTTCCACAGTTTTTACTGTACGTAATAAAGATGTAACATTCGTGACCATAATTTTCGCACATTCTTTCAATTTTTGCATTTCGGGATCATCAATATTTTTTCCACTTGCTGATTTCGTTACGTTGATAAGATTGTTCAAAGCGACAGCCACATCTTTCACACTATTGACAAGCATAATTTGTGCTTCACCATCATTCGCACCCAAAGATGCAGCACCTGTTTTGACCACTTCGGAAAGCTGAAAATAGCGCAGGGTTTACTTGGACTCTATCATTTTACAATTTCTTACTTTAGTTATCGTGCGCACAGCTGCCTGAGCCGCTGATGCTAATTGTTCCTGTGTTGATGCAGCACCTGCAACTAATGTTTTCGTATCTTCTACAAGTATTTTGGCTGTTTTCAAAATAGCTTCACGATGGTCAGCAAACGTTTCGTCCACATGTTCGGAATTCAGTGAACCGGCTGTAGCGAACAGAATGGTTGTATCCTTTTCGAATTTAAAAGACAATATTTATCGATAAAATGAAACATTCTTGGATTCTTACGAGATCAGTAATGATTCCACGAACAGTGCTTGCAGCATTGATACAAGCTTGTGTTCCACGTAAGTTACATTGTAATGCTATTAAAACGTTCGAAATCTAAACGAACGAAGAGAAAAGAAATCAACAGTCAATGCAATCGATTTCTCTTACCTTCTCCACTACTTTCTGACAAACACTGTCGAATTCGTATTTCGATTTGTTTTGTGCCAATTTTTCAATTAATTCAATCAAAACAAAGCCTAAATCTTGTACAACTTTCTTAATACGTATTGATAACTCATTTGTATTCGCAGTTCCAACTGCGCCGTACGTCGCATGGACTAGTTCATTATATTCACGTGTTAATTGATTCGCTAAATGTCGAATATCGATCGAGTCATTGATTGTTTTCATCGATCGAGCTAATTGTCTGAGAACTTCGATCATACGAGCTTGACAATCAATGTATTGACCTTGGTTGGTTATTTTCGTTGTCTCTAACGTGGATATCAATTGACGAATATTTTCACACAAACCATTCATTAATCCATTAGCTGAGGATTGTTCTGGTAATGTTTGAACTAATTTTCTGATTAATTTTACCAGAGCATCACTATTCGTATCGACAATTTTATGCCATTGAGTGTTCTTCGGATTTCCACCTGCTTCTTTGGTACTCAGGATCATCTGTAGGCTTGTTTCTACTAGCTCCTTAATTTGCTCCAATAGTAGGAGTTTCTCGTGTTTGTGGATCACATAGGATGTATAATTGATCGTATGATGGATGAATGGTTGTAAATACGTGATAAATTGCGATACATATGTGCCGATACGCTCTGGTTCACGTTTCGATGATTGACAAATATTGTTGATTAGCTCAACAAGAAAATGAGAACTCGACGAGATTTGTTCGTGATGGAACTAGAAATGATCGCTTGTGCAAAGATGTGACAGTGAAGAAGATAGAAACGAACCTGAGGTGATTTATCCGTCTTACGTATCGAATCAACATTCATCATTGCTTTATCAATTTCTTGAAAAAGTCTTCGAAGTTCTTCAACTGCTCGTTCGCATTGCTGTTGTCCAGGTGTCAATTCTCTACAAAAATAGATATGCATTCATTTCAGAAGCCGACAATTCAATCAACGTGCTTGACAGATGTGGCTAAACGTTTGATTGCCTCCGAAACAGTCTTTGTATGTGTAGCAAGTTGTTGCCATAATGAAGCTTCTTTGGAGTTGACGATTAAGGTTTTTGAACATTCAACAATACGACATGCGCCATCAACAACATTTCTAGCAGCCGATAAGATTGGTTCTTGTGATTGACGTCCCTGATAAAAATAAAAATGATTATTTATAAGAACATTTGCCATTGAAAAGACGCCTTACAGCAGCGTTGATTGTCAGTGGAGCACCTGCGAAATCTTTAGACATGGCGAACGTATGAAGTTCATCGATAGATTGAAGTAATGGTCGACTTATTTCCATACAATATCGATGATTTTCTGGTGTATATGAACTATCTAAAATCTGTAAATAATGATGAAACAAAGAGATTATTCTATGTCCAGAGAGAAATGCTAATTATATACTTTGATAGCACGGACAAGTTCGGCAGTCGCATTGGCAACATCCTTAGCAGATTGTACGAAACGTCGTCGAGCGACTGGATCAGCTGTATTCGACGATGCATCGCGACAGATATTACATAGAGATGATGTGTTCTTAGCAACTGTTGCTGCCAAGGTTAAAATCTAGATGGAAGACGAAATCGATGATCGTTCGGAAGATAATCAGAAAATGTCTCAAACGATTGCTTGCGTCTGTCTTTCAAAATCTAGTATACTTACATCGTCTCGGTTGATTGATGAATTTGCTAGATCTGCACATGCATGTCGGATGGCTTCAACTGCTCGACTGAATAACACTTGATCGAGTACAGGTGTACTTCCTTTCGTTGATGTCAGTTCTGATATACCGATCAGATAACTTGCCTAAATTATACGGACATCTATCGCCATTTGAATGACGCGAAAGCGAAGAAAATTTACTTGAGCTGATGCTTCCGTTAAATGACAAACTGCTTTCGATGCTTCTTGAACAGCTTGAACAAACAGACCATGATTGATATTCTTCGAAGCACTAGCAATATGTGTCATCGCTTCTCCTAAACGCTTCGAGTTTTCCACCACATGATCCAGTGCATCAAAGTACGTATAGTTGGCACATGGCTGTAAGATAGCTTGTTGTAATATAGCCTTCGATGTTTCCATCTTGGCAATGGCATTATCACATTCAGTATGTTCGGTACTATTTGCAGATTTCGGCGCTAAACATGCACTGATAACATCATTGATTGTTTCTGTTACCGCTCTAGAAGAAGATACAATACATAAAAATATTCAAGAATAGAAAGAGATGTACCTGGCAGCATTTGCTAATTGATATTTCATATCTTGTTCTACTACTGACGGTTCGAGAGAAACTGATTTTGCTCGTTCCAATAATTGATTCGACGATGTATGAACATTTTTGAGTGATACGATTAGACGCGATCGTTTATCATCTT